TTTTGCTGACTGACGTCTTTTTAAATACAAATTCATCACTAATAAATGCATCCTAATCTTGTGTGAATAAGAAACACGACTACTTCATGAATTTGCCTTTCATATCCACCAACCGAATTTATGCTGTGTAATCCATAAACGATCTTTCCCTTAGTGGAAAAACTGTTGCTACACGGAGGTAGTGAATTGAATCCTATTGAATGACCCGAAAAACATATAACTACATAAGATCATTACGTGAAGGAAGGCAGCCACCTTAAACTTGACTATAATCGGGTATTTAAGAGGTTTGTGTGAAAAATTTTGAGAACTGATGTCTGTTAGTACAGCAGACAGACTTGGTGCCATTTCGCTGGAGAATTTTTATACCACGTTGTAGGTAAAACAGTTTAAATTCCAAAGTATCAGAAGTAAACAGAAACCAGAGTTACACAATCTGCACTTATAAAACCTGAAGCTTCATCCATTACAGAATGATACGCGACAAAATCGTCGTGGATGCGCACTGCTGATAAGTCCCATACCAGGATGAAACGGTCATTCAGTGCTTCCAGGTTTCTAATGGTGGTCTAACACTGATCGGTTTATGGTTTCAAAATGTGCAAATTAACAATCTTCACAACCCTGTAAACTAAACAATAGTAGGACAATACATACTGATCATATAATGACCAAGAAACATTCGTACGTAGTTCGACCTAATATACTTACTTACTTACGCCTGTTACCCTCAATGGAGCATAGGCCGCCCACCAGTTTTCTCCAACCAACTCTGTCCTGGGCTTCTCTCTCCAGTTCTGTCCAATGTTTGTTGATTCTTCTCATATCTTTCTCTATTTCTCGGCGTAATGTATTCTTTGGCCTTCCTATTTTCCTTTTGCCTTGAGGGTTTCAAGTGAGGGCTTGTCTCGTGATGCAGTTAGGTGCGTTTCGTAGTGTGTGTCCTATCCACTAACTCCACCGCTTCTTCCTGATTTCCTCCTCCACCGCAATCTGGTTTGTTCTCTCCCACAGTTCGTTGTTGCTGATGGTGTCTGGCCAACGAATCGGAAGTATTTTGCGTAGACAGCTGTTAATAAACACTTATATCTTCTGGATGATGGCTTTGGTAGTTCTCCATGTTTCCGCTCCATACAGTAGAACTGTCTTGACATTTGTATTGAAAATCCTTATTTTGGTTTTGGTTGACAGTTGTTTGGAGTTCCAGATATTTTTCAACTGTAGAAATGCAGCCCTTGCTTTGTCAATCCGCGCCCTCACATCTACATCGGATCCACCTTGATTGTCGATTATGCTGCCAAGATATGTAAAGGTGTTTACGTCCTCCAAGGCATCTCCATCAAGAGTGATTTGGTTGGTGCATGTTGTGTTGCATCGGAGAATTTTGCTTTTTCCTTTATGTATGTTGAAACCTACTGCTGCAGAAGCTGCTGCTACACTGGTCGTCTTCTCTTGCATTTGTTGTTGAGTGTGCGATAGAAGTCGACCTAATATGCTTAGGATTTTTCAAAGGCATATATAAGATGTCGATAATTCTCACAGCTAGAGTGAACGTTTGCGGTGAGACCTAGACCTTTTTTCTACACACACTTACAGGGAATCATAAAAAGGTTATAAGATATTTTTGATGAGTTTAAAACATGTTTCTTATTTAAAAAAATGCACTGGTTACAAGATTAACTAAAATTACTTTGTATAAATCCCGACCGTAGCTGCTACCTTGACGTGGTGGTCGGGCTTGCCTATCGTGATCGCCCAACCGAGCTATATTGGCTGGAACATATGTTCCTGCAGGTCCTATTATGCCAGGCTGGTCGATTGGAGAACGATGAGACTAAAGGCAGCTACTCAAGGTCTGAGGGCGAAGTCATACTCCAGACTGTGATGGAGGGGTGTGACAGCAGTAGTAACGTGTTTCCCTCAGACAACCAGCATCTGCAGCGATGCTGCCTTCTCACAAGGAAGGAAGGGTTAGAAAAGGTCGACCGTAGAAATGTCACACCTCCCCTACCTCACGTAACAACTAGGGACATATGCAAGTGTTAAGGGCAAAATGAATTCCAGCCACTATTTTTAGAATATGACTTTTGCAGATTGCATGCTTGAATCACTATATAAAAACTTGCTCAGTAATACAAACAAATTTCCCATTAATAACTAACATTGAAACTCTATATTGGGTTATTCATATTTATACATTATTGCTAGAATATTGATTTGAGATAAACCTCAGTCAGTCAGTCAGTTGCAACGTAGAACTTCGTACGTACGCATATAAGTTCAGAATGCCATACCACCAAATTAGCACAGAGACGCAAATGTCAAATCAAATCCCATAGTGATAAAGATAGTATAGGTATTAATGGTAATGAAGAAGACTATGGTTTGAAGATATTATTCAAGAAGTATGATTCAATCAGAAAAGTTTAGAAAGTCAAAACTATAGGGTGTTTGAAGAATCCAGAAGATTAGGATTTGAGAGAACACAGAGAATAAATGCACCGGTGTCATTGCAAAAGATTCTGAGCCATGTCATTCAAGGTCTCTAACCATCGATTATTAACATCTCGCGGACACCAACAAGGTAGTCGACACCTACCAACATCACTCAATCCATCTGTCACTGACTTCACAGATTTCTGCCATGTTTTGGTCTGGCCGCATCCAGCTTTCGTCCAACCTACTCCTACATCGCAAAGCATAACTCGTCGAGGCAGTCGGTGGTTGGGCATTCGTAACACATGTCCCAACTACCTCAACTGATGAAGTTTCATTACTTCATCTATTGATCTGCCATTCTTACCTAGCACCCGATTCCTAATGACAGCATTGCTTATACGGTTATCCCAGGATACATGAGCAATGCTTCGAAGACACCTATGATCGAATACTAGTAACCTACGAATATCTTCTACTCTCATTGGCCATGTTTCACAGCCATAAAGTAAGACGGAGCGAACTACTGCACAGTACACTCGTCTTTTAGTCAGCAAACGGATATCTCGCCTTCGCCATAAGTGACGCAGGTTGGCAAAAGCCAATCGAGCCTTCTGTATCCGTGCTGAGATTTCGTCAGTCACCAGGCCATCAGCACTGATGAGACTCCCAAGATAAGTGAAGTGATCAACACGCTTGACTACTTCACTCCCTATCACTAGTTCAGGTGCCGATGCAACCCAGTCTTGAAGCAACATTTTGCATTTCGGGGGGAGGGGAACCACATCCCGAACATGCTTGCAATGTTGCTTAGGATAGTCAGAAGACTCTGCATTTTGTCAGCGTCTTCACCGAATAGAACTATGTCATCGGCATATTCTAGATCAGTAAGCCACTTTCCTGGTAGAAGGTCAACCTCTGAAAAATCTGACGAGCTTAATGTTAACTCTAAGAGGATGTCTAAAACAAAGTTAAACAAGAATGGAGAGAGTGGATATCCCTGACGGACACCGCTTGATGTAGAGAATTTAGATGACAGTTCGCCATATGCTCTCACTTGACCAGTGGTGTTCGAATAGAGAGCTTGTATAAGGTTAATGTACTTCTTTGGTACACCTTTCAATGACAGACACTGCCACAGAACCTCACGACCCATTGAGTCAAATGCCGCTTTTAGGTCCAGGAACACAACTATTGTCGGACGTCTAAAGGTGTGTCTGTGTTCCAGGACCTGTCGTAGTGGCAAGATGTGGTCTATGCAGCCACGTCCAAGTCTGAAACCAGCCTGGTTTTCTCTAGTCTGCTCTTTACGAGTTCTAGTTAGGCGTCTAAGTATAATGGAGGCTAACAATTTAGAAACTATATTAGTCAGACTGATTCCCCTGTGATTGTCACAAGAGGACTTTTGTCCTTTGTTGTAGATTGGGACCTCAATTTGTAACTTAGTAAACATACACATACAATTAGGTTTTGGAAATTTATGTCGTTAATCTTAAATTACGCAAATCGAATCGCAATTGTCCAGTGAACATAATCACCAAACAGATAAAACTGATCAAACGATTGGTAGATCTAAACTGCTTAGGAAATGAATTAAATCATTAATTTAACGCTTACAAATATTTTATGGTGCTGACTCTAAAATATCATGCTATCAGAACTCTAATGGTATATTTTAGTTTCCAGTGACTTTATTATATAGGAACTGTTTCAAGGGATCATATATATCACTAATATGCTGGGATATAATTAGTAAGACAGAGTGCAGTTTTAACAGACACTAACTTGGTCATGACTACTTTAAATGCATTCTTAGCCTACTAATAATATTAGCTGATCTAATTATGATCTTTAACATCGTTATACAGTGAATCGTGTTGTAGTCTGCACATGACCAGTCTACAGATGGCGTGCCATACCTAACAATATCCCATTTGAGAAAGCATCGACTTAAACCTGTTTTCTGTTGATATATTTGTAAAATTATATCCCGTAGGTTAAAAATGAGTGTGTAAATACCAGAAACTAAGACTTTTTGGCATTTTTTAATACGTTGTCTTTGCTAGCACAGAAATACATTTTTGTTATTGCTTACTGTGTAATATAAAAATTAAAATCAATAGTTCATATTGGTAGTATTAACTGATTAAGCAAATGGAAGATGAGTATCCTTTTGTCAATGTGTGGGATTTGGAACTCAACATGTTAATATAACGCATGACTGCTTCATATTAGCTTAGTGTTTAGGGATAACTCTCATATATTTAACGGAAGCTAAAGCCTATCATCAGAGTTTTCCAACCGAGGAGTGAAAAATTGTAAAAACCGAAGGCCGTGTAGTGCAAATTCTAAAAGTTTACGAAATATTTCACTCATAATTTAAAGAAGACTAAATAGTATTGATTGATGGCAAATAACAAACTAAGAACACTCCACAATACTTAATTCAAGTTCATTTATAAGCATTACGGTGAAATAAACAGATTCAACTCGAAAGTTATATCAGTAAATATTTACATCGGGAAATGATTTGACACAAGAAATCAAATGAATAAGGCACAATTTCATGGACAAGATGCGTCGAATTCAGACTTGTATTTCTCTATCCACTCTCTAGCAGTGATTTTTTGAGGTAGAACATCAGCTAGAAAGCTGTAACGATCCAAATGACATTGAAGACGAGAAAGATCCTTGTAAGTCAATTCAGATCGATTACCACGCACTGCACTGGATACAAGCTCACTTACAAACATTTCCTAAACTTTATAATGAAATAATAATACAATATTTACAGTTGCTTTAGACAGACATACAACAGAATCTGATGAAACACAATCTACATCAGGAGAACTTTTCATCATAAGGCGAGTTCTGAAAGCTGGTATACGGAGTCCCATAACTTCATCAGTGGTACTATAACGAGGCATCTTTAGTAAGTCGGCGTTTATCCGGAAAGCACCTTGTGTGATGAGCTGCGTGTGAAATTGTCTGGAAGAGGAAATAACAGGAGAAAAGGTTAGCCGATGCATTTAAACTTAACAGAGAAAGCAATCAATACTGAGAAATACAACAAACATGAGACTGAGACAAACTGATAATCAGAAAAAGAAGTTGGTAGTTTCGAAAGCGTCACAATATTGTGTACCAAACGCTACTGTATTTGATTAATAAATCGTCAAATAAAATAAAACATTGTGTTCAAAAATTTGAACATAAAACTAAATGAACCAGTCCCAGGTAGAGTATATTATAGCAACTTACAGTGAAAACCAAAAGTGGAATTGACTTTGGGTAGGATGTTTAACAGAAACTCATATATACGCGACTAAACACAGGTCACATACTTGTACGTCTAAACAAGTACAAAGTAATAAAGCAAACTTTTTCTTGTAAGATAAAGAATGAGTTTATATTATTTTGTTTCTGTTAGTTTTGTGTGCGTCCGGACAGTGTTTCAATATCTAAAATCTTTCTCATGAACTAGTATACAATATCTTGTACACAGGTTAGTGTAATCCAGTTAATTACTTTGTGCTCGCTTCGTGTTGTTTCAGCTTAATTCCAAGTATTCGGTAATGTCTAGTGAATTGTGTTTCAGCCTTTCAACCGTACTAATTCTAGTCACTTCGAAGTTATGAATTTTTATGTTCCGTAATTTCAGTGGGTGCGTTTGTTTCAGAGCAGTAGGGTTACGGAATATCAGCAGCTATAATATTATTGTGCCGGAGATTAGTTAGTTGCCATATGGAAGGTAATAAAAGAATTCTGATGCTAATGAGATTTCATAACTTAGCAAACAAATAAACAAGTTAATTAACTGTCAACGAAGATTATTTGAGAGGACAAAATTATGAGCAAAGAATTGGAAAAAGAAATAAGAATCGGGATCGAGTAAGTTGGTTTTCCGAAGAAATGACATCGGTAACCACTAGCAAGTTTCTAGCTATGCATCAGGCACAGCTGGTCCAAGCGGAAAATAATAGTCCGTCCGTGAATACATGTTTGTTAAGTCTCTTCTTGAAGCTATCCACTGGATGGATCATGGTCACGTGGGGTTAGGAAGACAATGCAATTAGGAGCATCTTTTATTGAGAAGTAACAGAGTACCAGGGTTTTCTTTAGTTTCTGAACACTTTTTGGGGATCACCCCGACAGGCATAGTGATGAATTTTTGTTATGATATTCGTATTGTAGTGGTTTGTTTTTTCATTATGCTGCTCATCATCATATTACCTCTCATTTCATTTTCATTTGCCCAATGACAATAATCCCAGGTGATTGAATGTGTCTCTAGAAAATTTTTCCTTTAATCCTGTCACTCACTTAGTTGCTCGCTCTACACTCGGTCTACGAGATTCATGCCTCTTTTAGAGAGAGAGAGATCATTTTGTGAGCTTCAAGTCGCAGCAGTGCATATGTCCATGAAAGGGTTGGCAAAAATTGTTAAGCGATTGTACCAGTATGTCCTAACATGAATTTGAAATTTGTCTTTACCCTGTCTGCGTCCCCTATGGTCGAGCACATGGTTGACTCCATCCGGGCGGATGAGAGTGAAACTTCCAGTGGTACCGACAGTAGTTTCTCAATTGTCTCGATGGTTGTCGCCCGGTCTGTAACCTGGAAATTATTCGGTATGAAGACCTTATCTCGTTTTCATGGTCTATTTCCGTTTTAGCAACAGTCTCTGTCAGACTTTTCAACACTCACAATGAATTCTGCGGTTGCTGGGTGATTCGATAGCTCTTCTTCTTGTATTTCATTTCTTATACGTGATCTGGTTGAGGAGCCCTTTGTCAAAGTTCTATCTGCAATATGTGTACCCAGATTTGCACATAACGTGGGAAAACTTGAATTCATTTTTGTTTTAAGACTACTTAAGCCTCAGCGTTACCACCAATTAAAGCTTTGATGTGACTTAAGTAGTGAATTGGGGAGCTGTCAGTAAATGTCTCCCAGTGAAAAGCCCTCGGATTCTTTGATCGTCTGTTCATTATGTGACGTCATAAAGTGGTGTACGGTTTTAGCTTAGTGGGGCTCAAAATTAGGCCGTTGACCTTACGAAAAACAAAGAATCGGGTACAAAGAAGAAATTTCGACAATAAATTCCCTCTGACTCAATACTGTGTTTCATGAGGTTATGCTGCAGTTGTGCAAAGCATGACTCAGGGTTACTGCGTTATGATTATAGGAGTCGGGATTTCATATACGACAGTATTTATCTCTACAGATGACAAGTTATACTTTATTTCGTGCTTCCAACTCTGTATCCAGCCACGCACTTAATGGCAATGAATTAATATATTCCGGAGATACAAACGCGAGACAAACAAGCCCAACTTTAAAAATGTTCAGTAGAATTTGTTTTATACCTAGATGAAACAGAAATGAAACCCTAATTATCAGGAGTTCGAACTGTGTACAGGCACATAAGACGGATGATTAGTGTCTACGCCAAAGACCCAGCAATCATTAGGCCTTTATGATCTGGGCAATGGCCAAATGAAGTATCTTTAGCGACGACTAAAGATTGCTAATATTAAGAACAATTTGGTTTAAACCTTTTTAAAACACGATACTTACCTGAAGACCACTTTATTGAACGTTCCAGTTGTTCTTCTATTATAGAAATGCAGCCCTTGCTTTACCGATCCACGCCCTCACATCTGCATCAGATCCACCCACGTATGTAAAGGTTTCTACATCTTCCAAATTGTGATTTAGTTGGTGCATGTTGTGCTGTATCGGAAAATCTTGTTTTTTCTTTTGTAGATGTTGTGACCTACTGTTACTGAGGCTGATGCTGCACTGTTCGTCTACTCTTGCATTTTTTCTTTTGTGTGAGATGGAAGAGCTAGATCATCTGCGATGCCTAGGACGTTTAGCTGTATCCTACCTGTCCACTGTATCCTATGCTTCCCAAGAGACGTTGACATCTTCATAATCAAGTCGATCACTAGGGGAAAGAGAGGGTGAAGGTAAGCAACCTTACCTGACAATGCTTTTCACCTCTAACGGGTCTGTGAGCAGTCCTCGATGGGAGATTTTGCGGTTTAATACATAGTAAAGAGTCTAAGAAGCCTCCATAGTTTTGTCTCATTCACGCTGTTGAATGCCTTCTCGCAGTCAATGAAGTTGGTGTAAAGTGGTGAGTTCCATTCGATTGATTGTTTCACAATCATATATTGTGTCTGGATTTAGTCGGCACGTGATGGATCCTTACGGAATCGAACTTGTTAATCTCGGAGTTGGGCGTCCATAGTGTCCTCTACTCTGTTGAAGACTTTGCTTCGCACTGGGAGAAAAGTGATGCCACTTAAGTTCCCACACTCACTGAGATCGCTTTTCTTCGGTTTCTTGATCAAGTGTCCTTCCTTTTTTCCATTCTGTTGATATTTGCTCTGCCTCCTGAATCTTGCTGAAGAGTGTGGGATACCTTCGCAGCTACTACTACGTCTGCTTTTAGTGCCTTCCGATGTTGTTCATTTCCTTTCTACCAATTACTATGCAGAATGCCTTCAGACATGTGATGTAACACGGCCACAGATGGAACGAAAAATATCAGCAAACAATACTGCACCCCGTTTCTAGAAGGTGGCTTCTTTACTGCCACAGTTGTTTGGTGGAAGCAGTATAATCTCGTAGTATGTCAGCACTGTCAGCAGCAGGACTACTCCCCTTGACCATCGGTTTTTACATACAGTCTTTCCGTTCTCCAGCCAACTAGCCTCATATGAACAGACTTTGGAAAGTGAATGTCCCGTTATATTTTGTTCGATTAGAGGACCAAAATAATCAAGTCTAACTACTGAATCAGAATTACAGCTGCAACCTACCGGGCAGTGCATACTGATTAGTTTTCATGTTGATCGAATTACGGATACATGGAAGATAACTTCTGACACCTTAAAATAAACTTCGACTAAGTCAACTTGAGGATTCCGTCTCTACAAACATCGTCAACACTTAAAACTACTGCCTATGCTCTTTGAACAACCATTCATTTCCCATTTTTTCTTGCTCACTTGATTGCAATATTATTCTTAGCATTCGGGTATAACTCACATAGTATATGGGCTTGCTTGAAAAATTGAACATGAATGCTTATGTATATCTAGTTTGCTTTTGACAAGATTAAGTGACTGCTGTACTTTGAGGTTGCCTCACCGTCTTCAGGTGATTTGAACGACCAATGCGAGAGTTTTGATTGATTTTGTTTTTCAAATTATTGGTCAATGCTAAGCACCATATGCTGTGGTAGTTAACACTTGAGTAATTCGGAAAGAGACTGGAGATATAGTCAGACAGAAATACAATTTGAAGGTTTTAGAATCCGAAGTTAACTAATTTTTCATACTTTGCAGGTACACCAGAACATTTATAAGTCGTTTTCTTCCGATTACCTATCCTTAGAGTGATTCACATTACAGTTATGTGTTGAAATTATAAACAGTTTAAAACGTATTACTTAAAAACACCAACCAGTTGTGTCTGGTAGCGTGGGAAAGTTTCTGGACTGCAACAGGATAGCATGAGATAACGTGTTTTACTCTAATTTGCAACTAAAATGGTGGAGAAAAATTTACTGGCGCCGAACAAAAGCGATTGTATGCTCAAAACACTCAGGAAGTCATGTAACTCTGCATTTTAGCAATACAGATAAAGTAAAGATCTTACCGTGGTTTAAAATAATTCAACTGGCCCTGACCATTCCGACTATATGATTATCCCAGATAATGAAACTGAGGAACCAGAGGCTTATTCATGTGGCATTGTTAAGGATGGTAGAATAATCACTCCTACCTACTAAGCTCACAATCTGAGATTGAAAATAACAATAACAAGGATTTCTACTTGTTCTTTTTAATTTTCTAATCTTCTCTGGGATGTGTGATATTGAACGTTATGCAGTTAGTTAAGAGCATATTCAACTATTGCGTTACTGTTACTTGTTGAGGTGAGGTAGTGGGATAAAAAATCATAACACAAAACGCATCTACCTGGGTTTTGTGAAGACTTCAAATATCACATATATACAGAGCAGTACAAAACCTTTTTTCTCTATCTTGTGCATAACATTCAAGTCAATAGCATACCTGATACCTACCCCGAAACTATTCATTTGAATTGGCTATTTTCTGATTGACCAACAACTGGCTAAAAATTCACTACGGTTGTTATAAGTCCGTCTCTATCTCACGCTGTCGCGATTTTATTCTGTTGATCAGTCGGATGGCAAGCTAAACCTGGCTGTATGATATGTAGTTGCTGAGGATAAAAACGCTGTATATGCAAATAAAATTGCATTATTTAAATAATCCAGTGATGCAGCTAAAATCAATTTCCAATCATCTGATTTTAGTTTTTTGACATCTCATCTATTTTTTCTACTGATTTGTGGGACACTGCATTTGAATCGGTCTTCAGATTGAGTGGATGAGGTTCTCTGAGTGATAACTACCGACATTGTAATAATGCCTACTTGAGCCCTGTTTCGTTGTATTTCAGATGTTTTGAGACGATAGGAGCACTTCATATTTTGTGGACTACTTTAATAGCCACGTTTGTCTCAGGATTTACATTTGTTTACGTACATAGTATCTTATATGTACCATATATACGTATTTTTTTATAAAGACCGTCATCACTAAATAGGATTGTTAGTACATCTATGTATTCAGGGGATATCTTCTCTTTAAGGGGCTAAAAAATATCCATATCTTTCTGTGGGATTACTTTGCTGTAGGACAACATCATCATGTACAAAGCTTACAACCTATGTTATAAATTTCTACTCTCACGCAGCTTCGTATGATTTTTTTCATACTGAAAGTAACATTTAGCCTTCAACTAAGAAATTTCAATTTCCAATTTTATTTCACGATTTTGTTATATTCATTTGAAGGATCATATTTTTGTAAATGAACTAGATCTCAGTGTTAATATTTGCCAAATCTTTGAAAATTCTATTTTATCAAATTATTCAAACATCTTGCACATAAGTCGATGAGATATACACTAATGTTGTTCATACTATGCCACACTTTGAACCATCCACTAACAGTACTCAAACTATCAGTTATGTAACCAACTGAAAGAATAGTGATGGAAAGAAATCTACTCATCGTTTTCACTTATAACCACCATATTACTTGTTTTTTTCATATCATGTGTATCACATATTTGAAATAATTAACAAAGGTTTTTTCATTTCAACTTTTTCAGATAAGATAGCCATTTTGCATTTGCCGAAAGATAAAAATGATATTTCATCAGAAAGTTGGCAATGAAAGTTATTTTATCGATAGTGTCACACACAACAGCTTTATGTTGTTTATTATTTTACGTGAATATGTTTGTTCATTAATGATGTCAGATAATACTACTGATCAAGTACAATGTACTATCAGCTCAAAAGATACAATCTCTTTATACATGTTAATGTATGAAATGTTAAAAGTTAGTTGATTTTAATTTTTTTTAAATAGAATTTTCTTTAGGAAAATATTGGTAATCCTTTCGATATATTGAAATCTGATTCATCAAATGTACATATTCCTGACTATTTAAAACCATTCATTCAAGGCCGGTAAATAATTATATATATATTATTTATTATGAACACTAGAATTGAACGATTACGAAATTATTATGAAGCTGTTGCATATACAAATTTATGGACATTTAAAAGTTTAATCTTCGCAAAACCATTACGTCTTGGCAATCAGCTAGATGATGATGATGATGATGACGATTATGATATGGACATCGCTGATATTGAAGCTCATATTAGTGATCAAAGTAATAGTGGTAGAAGAAAATTTTTCTTAACAAAAGATAGTGTTTTTGGTAAGTTAAGTGATATTTCTTAATAATAATATAATTTGGTTTTTTTTCTTAAAGTTTGTTAAATATACATATGAGGTAATGATTGGTTTTTTGAAGTATACATGTTATCATCGGCTTCAAAGTTGTGATAGATATCAAGAAGAACAGACAGATGCAACGTAGAACTTCGTACGTAAGTATATCAGTTCATGTCGCCATACCACATCAGCAAAATCGCATCGTTTGCATTAGCGGTGCAGTCAGATAAGGGAATGTGAGTAGAGTTATTCGTAGAGATAAGAGAGATATAAGGGGGTGTAGGAAGGAATTGATTTTGACCAATTTGATCTCGTGTGCTGTTACGGGTATGAGGGCGGTTGTCACTTTCCGGCTGGCCACACCATGGAAGGTTGTTTCTTGAGGGACCTGAAAAAGAAGATAGATTAGTGTTGGTCTTGGAGACCTGGGTGCGTGACCGCAGAGTCCAAGGGACAACTGCTTGAGGCCGGTCACGCACGGCCTTTTTATGAAAGGTATTTTGAGTATTAGCTCCGTTCTTAAAGGCCCTTAATGGGCACCCTTACCCAAGGAGACGGAAATTCGTGAGGTAGGTTGAGGTGTGACATTTTTACGGTCAACCTTTTCTAACCCTTCCTTCCTTGTGAGAAGGCAGCACCGCTGCAGATAGATGCTGGTTCTCCGAGGGAAACACCTTACTGCTTTTAGGCCTCTCTACAGTTAGCAGTACGACTTCGCCCTCAGACCTTGGGTAGCTGGTTTTAGTCTCATCGTTCTCCAATTGACCAGCCTGGCATGGTAGAACCTTCAGGAACATATGTTCCAGCCAATATAGCTCGGTTGGGTCATCATGATAGGCAAGCCTGACCACCACGTCAAGTTAGCAGCTACGGTCGGGTATCAAGAAGAACACTAGAATTTTTTTTTGTTTCCGGTATAATGTGACAATAATTGATCATGCAGTTCAGCAAGAAATTTGCTGCACTAAACACTATGATACTTGGGTAAAATGAACAGAGAAAGAGAATATAGATAATACCACTCAAAAGACAATACAAAAGTACATCTTACTGCTTTTGTTGAATGTAGAAGAGTGCTGTAATATTGCCATTAGCTTTAATGTTAATTCGTGTATGATAATCTTAAGTCATTGGGTTCCACTTTTAGAAAGTTGTGGTTAGTCAAAACATGCGACTTTCATACATATATCTCTTACTACATAGTTTCTTTTTTACGGAGTCTTAATACTGTTAAACTGGTTTAAATGAACGATGTCAAGGCGTTGTATATGAAACATTCCCGTTTATTGGGAGCTAGGATTTCTAATCCAATTAAACTTTAGTTTTCAGTTTGCTTAGACATATTCCTCATATATATATTGCTTACATTGTTTGACCATTGAATATGAACAATTTGACTACCGAACATAAACTGAGGTTAAAAATCCTTGATTCAAATAAATCATATTACCCAAGCATAGGAGAAATTTTTCACGCCTAAGCTCTCTGGTCTGAGTTCGAGCCAGACAGACAGATACAACTCAGAACTTCGTTCAGCACCGAGACGCAACTATCAGTTCAAATCGAAGAGTGATAGTGATAGTAGGATTATTAGCAATGATGGAGAAGATTAGGGAGCGAAGATATGATTCGAGAAGTATAATTCAGTGAGATAAATTTAGAAGGAGAAAGATAGAGATTATGAGGAATTCAGAAGGTTAGAATTAGAGAGTAAACACAAAGAGTGGATGCACCTGCGCCATCGCAAACGATTCTGAGCCATGTCGTAGTTCAAGGTCTCTAACCATTGGTGACTTTCGTCCTGCGGACCCCAACCAGATAGCCTACATCTACCAACATGACTCAGTCCAGTTGTTGTCAGTGATTTCATGGATTTGTGTCATGTTTTGGTTTGGCCGCCCCTAATTTTCTTCCAACCCATTCTACTTCGGTCTGCGTAGCTTGTCGTTATCATAAGCCCGTACATTAAAAATGTACGTCCAAACCTAGTATTTGAATATATACTCGGTAAAGGAGTTGATGAGCTGTATTGAGCAATCTTTTAGGCAGTCAAATAGGTCGGTATGTTTATGCTTAAACTTCATGTCCGCTTATTTTCTTCACTTTCTATTATGACATGTTTTTCTCTTTTATATCCTAACTAATTGAAGTAATCCATTTATCAATTACAGCTTTCTGGTTTTAGCTTCAATCCACGCCTATTTTTTGGTCATGTATACAGGCTAATTTTGAGTACTAGGTAAGAATGGCATATCAATTGATGAAGCGTCGAAACTTCATCAGTTGAGGTGGTTGGGACATGTGTTGCGTATGCCAAAGCACCGACTTCCTCGACGAGCTTTGTTTTGCAGTGTAGGAGTAGGTTGGAAGAAGGCTAGGGGCGGCCAGACCAAAACATGGCAGAAATCCATGAAGTCACTTACAAGTGAACTGAGTCATGTTGGTAGTTGTCAACTACCTGGTTGTGGTCCGCGAGACGAAAGTCACCAATGGTTAGTGACCTTCAATGATATAGCTTAAAATCGTTTGTAATGGCGTAAGTGCATCCATTCATTAACCTCTCTCAAATCCTAATCTTCTGAATTCGTCAACACCTCTACCTTTGCATTACCCGGGTTGTGAAGATTGTTACGTTACACATTTTTTGAAACCATGAATCGATCAATGTTAGACCAGTGAAGTTCAACCTGTTCGGGTGTAGGCAATGTCTACCGAAGACTGTGTATGAGGTTGCGCAGCTCCGTGAATTTGATCAAGTTAGACATTAACACCGTTAGATACCGGCTCAGTGGTCTAACGGTTAGGGCGTTCGCGCACAATACCGAAGGTCCTGGGTTCGAATCCTACGGGGTTCAGGTGTCGTGGATGCGCACTGCTGAGGAGTCCTATACAAGGATGAAACGGCCGTCCAGTGCTTCCAGGTTTCTTCTAATGGTGGTCTAAAATTGATCGATTCATGGTTTCAAAAAATGTGTACCTGTACCTTTGTCTTTCTAAACTTCTCTCACTGAATTATACTTCTTGAATAATATCTTCAAATCCTGATCTCCATAAGTAGTAATTCTACTGTCTGTACCACTATGGTATTTGTATTGACAATCACATCTCTGAGCTAATGTGATAGTGTGGCAATCTGAACTGATGTACTCACATACGAAGTTCTACGTTGTAACCGACTGACTGACTGACTGACTGAATTTCATTAACTTGCCTCTTCAAACCAACTTAGGTACGTACACAGTTGGCTTATGACTTTACAACGTAAAATCAATTTAACGCTAGGGGCGGCCAGACCAAAACATGGCATAAATCCATGAAGTCATTGACGAGTGGACTTAGTCATGTCGGTAATTGTCGACTACCTGGTTGGGGTCCGCGAGATGATAATAATCGATGGTTAGAGACCTTGAATGACATGGCTCAAAATCGTTCGCAATGGCGCAAGTGCATCCATTCATTGTGTTCTCTCAAACCCTAATCTTCTGGATTCTTCAACACTTCTAGTTTTGACTTTCTAAACTTTACTCACTGAATTATACTTCTTGAATAATATCTTCTATTCGTAACCTCTCCGATTACTTCTAATACCTTTACTTCGTCTTCTACTATTGGATTTGAATTGACAATTACATCTCTGTGTGCTAATATGGTATGGCAACATGAACTGATGTACTTACGTACGAAGTTCTACGTTGCAACTGACTGACTGAATTTAACGCATAACTACTCTACCGTATAACATTTATCTGTTTACATAGCAACCTAGATAAACTTGTATTATTAATAAAAAGATAATATTTAAATTATTTTCTCTCTCTCTCTCTCTCTCTCCTGTTATTTTTATTTCTATAGGTTTATTTGTACGTAGATTTGCACTAGGACTTTATGCACAAAGTTTTGAAAAAATGATACAATTTTTTGATTCATTTTTTGATGCTTATGATCATGAAATGAATATGGCATCAAATGTTGACAGTACAAATTTGATTGTAGAAAGATTTGCTGATTCATTCAGTAGAGATCAATATTTAATATCAACGTAAGTGACAGTGTTTATTGGATTAGGTTTTGATGCTTAAACGAATTACTTAATTACTTACTTACTTACTTACTTACGCACGTTACCCCCAATGGAGCATAGGCCGCCGAACAGTTTTCTCCAACCAACTCCATACTGGTCTTCCTTCTCCAGTTCTGTCCAATTTTTGTTCATTCTTCTCATATCTTTCTCTATTTCTCGGCCTAATGTGTTCCTTGGCCTTCCTCTTTGCCTTTTTCTTTGAGAGTTACAAGTGAGTGCTTGTCTTGTGACGCAGTTGGGTGCTTTTCGTAGTGTGTGTCCTATCCACTTCCACCGCTTCTTCCTGATTTCCTCCTCCACTGGAATCTGGTTTGTTCTCTCCCAAAGTAAGTTGTTGCTGATGATGTCTGGCCAACGAATACGAAGTATTTTGCGTAGACAACTATTCATGAACACTTGTATCTTGTGGATGACGGCTTTTGTAGTTCTCCGAGTTTCCTCTCCATACAGTAAAACTCTCTTGACATTTGTATTGAAAATCCTGATTTTGGTGGTGATTGATATTTGTTTGGAGTTCCAGATGTTGTTCAATTGTAGAAATGCAGACCTTGCTTTACCGATCCGCGCCCTCACATCTGCATCGTCGGATCCACCTTGATTGTCGATGATGCTGCCCATATATGTAAAGGTGTTAACGTCCTCCATGGTATCTTCATGAAGAGTGATTTGGTAGGCGTATGTTATGTTGTTTCGCAGAATCTTGTTGTTTATTTCAAGATTATTCTTAAATTGAAATTTGTCTATGTAAATCAGTAAGTCAGTTAGCTATAACGTAGAACTTTGTACATGTACGTACATCAGTTCTAGTTGTTATACCACCCGACTAGCACACAGATATCGAATTGCCAATTCAAATTCCATAGTAGTAAATGTAGTAGCAGTGTATTAGCGGTAATCAAAAAGATTCGGGGTCGAAGATACGGTTCGAGATGTATAATCTAGTGAAATTGTGGTGCGAGCTACTTATAAGTAGTATATGACGTGAGTGTCAACGTAATGTCTGGCAGCAGAAGATGGGGGAAGATTAAGAAAGGAAGAGTCAGAACACAATGGAATTTGTATGAAACGCATGAATAGGGACAATGGATTGATGATGTTTTGCAACAGGAACAGTCCAGTTGGATAGGATGGACTGATATTTTGCAAATTAACGATTTACGATATGGTTTCCCAATTTTACTGAGTAACTCTGTAATTTTCGTTAAATACAATCCGGTGCCCTCACCTGTGTTCTCGTTCACTACATAGGGAGGGAGTTGTAAATATTTGAGATGAGATTTTCACTAGCAAAAACATATTAGACAGAATGATTCTGTAAGTTTATTTAAGAAATAAATTCTTTCCTTAGCTTGTTCATCACGTATTTTTTCTGTTTTGTTTCAAATCGTTGCACAATTTTATTCATTTCAATCAAATACAATAAACATGTTCACAAGTCATTAGTTGAAAAAAAATATCCGAATTTCTGTAAGTAGGTGTTAACTGTCTGATGTAAAGGTAAGCTTGAAATAAGCCAGAGGCGGACAAACGAAAACATGGTACAAATCTATGAAGTCAATGACATTTGGACTGTGCTCTGTTAGTAGGTGTAAACTACCAGGTTCCGGTCGGCGAGATAATAGTAACCGATGCTATTTTTTGTGGTGTAAGAGTAGGTTGGAAGAAAGCTAGGGGCGACCAGACCAAAACATGGCAGAAATCCATGAAGTCACTAACTAGTGGACTGAGTCATGTTTGTAGATGTAGACTACGTGGTTGGGGTCCGCGAGACGAAAGTCACCAATGGTTAGAGACCTTGAACGACATGGCTCAAAATCGTTTGCAATGGTGCAAGTGCATTCATGCATTGAGCTCTCTCAAATCCTAATCTTCTGGATTCGTCAGCACCTCCTCTGGTTTTGTCTTTCTAACCTTATCTCACTGAATTATAGTTCTTGAATACTATCTTCAAACCCCCTAGTCTTCTTTATTACCATTAATACCTCTACTATCTTTATCACTAAGGGATTTGATTTGACATTTGCGTCTGTGTGCTAATTTGGTGGTATGGCAACATGAACTTATGTACATACGTACGTAGTTCTATGTTGCAACTGACTGACTGAACCGATGGTAGAGTCTCTGAATGACTTGGCTCAAAGTCGTCTGCAATGGTGCCGATGCATTCGTCATTTATCTTCTGAATTCCCCATCACCTTTATCTTCCCCTTTTTACATTTATTTCACAGGATTTATACTTTCTGAATAATTTCTTTTAACCGTAATCCTTTTCATTACCACTGATACTAATACAGCATGTACTATTATGGAATTTGAATTAACAATTCCATCTTTCTGTACTGATGTGGTAGTATGGCAACTTGAACTGTTGTACGTACGTACGTACGTACATACGAGGTTCTACGTTGTAGCTAACTGATTGTAGTGTTAACACAAATAATTGAGTGGTATCGACTGAAAAATTCCATGTCCTTACTTTACTCTTTACAAAAAATGAAACAGTTATTCATAATCATTATAGACTGTAGTACAATAATTATGTGTTATTATTTCAAGTTGTCATGCTATATTGCTGCTAACACAATCAGAGGAGGTAACCAAGATGAAATCGATATAACTTTAACAGCATTGATAATGAGAAAGACTAGAAATATTGAAAAATATGTTAGTTTTTTTTGAGAAAAAGTGAAAAGATGGTATTTTTAGAAGAGCCCGACCGTAGCTGCTACCTTGACGTGTTAGTGGTCGGGCTTGCCTATCGTGATGACCCAACCGAGCTATATTGGCTGGAACATATGTTCCTGAAGGTCCTACCATGCCAGGCCAGTCGATTGGAGAACGATGAGACTAAAAGCAGCTACTCAAGGTCTGAGGGCGAAGTCGTACTGCTGACTGTAATGGAGGGGTGTGACAGCAGTAGTAACGTGTTTCCCTCGGACAACCAGCATCTACAGCGATGCTGCCTTCTCACAAGGAAGGAAGGGGTTAGAAGAGGTCGACCCTAAAAACGTCACACCTCACCCTACCTCACAGATTCCCGTCTTCGGCGGTAAGGGTGCCTACTAAGGGCTTTCAAGAACAGAGCTAACATTCAAAAAGCTTCTCATACAAAGGCCGTGCGTGACCGGCCTCAAGCAGTTGTCCCTTTGGCTCTGCGGTCACGCACCCAGGTCTCCAATACCAACATTAATCTATATCCCGTTTTCAGGTCCCTCAAGAAACACCCTTCCACGGTGTGGGCAGCCGGGAAGTGACAACCGCCCTCATACCCGTAACAACACACGAGACCAAATTGGTCCTTCCTTCACCCTCGTAATACTTCTCTTATCTCCACGACTAACTCTTCTTACATTCCTTTGTCACACTGCACCGCTAATGCAAACGATGCGAGTTCACGAAACGTCATTCCTGGTCTCTTGAAACCCCGTCTAGTCATCCAGAACCAGATTATCACAGAAACGTCATTCAAATAGTTTGCCCTTGGCGTAGGTAGCATGGTTCATCTCAATAGTCAATGATTTTATGTCTGCGTTTTAGATTTCTCATAGGTTTTCTGTAAATCATTTTCATTTATAATGAAAAAGATTTGAAGATATTATTCAAAAAGTATAATTCAGTGAGATAATTTTAGAAAGACAAAACTAGAGGTGTTGAAGAATCCAGAAGATTAGGATTTGAGAGAACACAAAGAGTGGATGCACTTGCGCCATTGCAAACGATTTTGAGCCATGTTGTTCAATGTCTCTAACCATTGGTGACTTTCATCTCGCGGATCCCAACCAGGTAGCCTACATCTACCATCATAACCCAGATTAATTGGCCTCAGTTAAACAACTAGTAAAAAGCAAGAAACACTGGACACATGTTTCGTGCTAGTACAGTAGTGCATACCGATAATCTCACTTCAAGGAATCGAGCTCATGCACTTTGAAATTATTCATAAACATACAACTTCAAAAATAGTGATTCGTTGTCTAAAAGTTTACATAATTCACTATAAAACGCCTAATTAATTACTATGAGAAGTTTCTAAGGATTTTAAGTGTTGATTTCAAGTTCTAACAAAAAACTATAACCTATGAAATCAAACTTTGTAGAACATGAAACAATTATTCACTAAGTACAAATACATTTAAAGTTGAATGAATGTTCATGCATGAAATCAAATTTCTTGAGATTCAATCTCCTGTATAGAATTCATGGATATGACCTTCCGAGGAGTTCAGTACTAACATAAAACATCTGTCCAATAGTTCTTACTTACCTCCCGGGTTGTTAAGACCTTCCTTTTCAGGTTCCTCCCTTGCATTAGTTATTCAACATTAAGCTCGTCAGATTTTTCAGGGGTTGACCTTCTACCAGGAAAGTCGCTTACTGACCTAGAATATGCCGATGACATAGTCCTACTTGGTGAAGATGCTGACAAAATGCAGAGTCTTCTGACTACCATAAGCAACAATGCGAGCATGTTCGGGATGCGGTTCTCAACCTCGAAATGCAAAATGTAGCTCCAAGACTGGGTTGCATCGGCACCTGAACTAGTGATAGGGAGTGAAGTAGTCAAGCGTGTTGATCACTTCACTTATCTTGGGAGTCTCATCAGCGCTGATAGCCTGGTGACTGACGAAATCTCAGCTCGGATACAGAAGACTCGAATGGCTTTTGCCAACCTGCGTCATTTATGGCGTAGGTGTCATATCCGTTTGCTGACTAAAGGACGGATGTACTGCGCAGCAGTTCGCTCTTTATACGGAATTACGTGGTGAAATTTCATCAGTTGAGGTGGTTGGGACATGTGTTACTTATGGCTAACCACCGACTGCCTCGACGAGCTATGTTTTGTGTCGTGGGAGTAGGTTGGAAGAAAGCTGGGGGCGGCCAAACCAAAACATGGAGGAAATCCATGAAGTCAGTGACAAGTGGACTGAGTCATGTTGGTAGATGTAGGCTACCTGGTTGGGGTCTACGAGACGAAAGTCACCGATGGTTAGAGACCTTGAACGACATGGCTCAAAATCGTTTGCAATGGCGCAAGTGCATCCACTCTTTGTGTTCTCTCAAATCCTAATCTTCTGGATTCTTCAACACCTCTAGTTTTGTCTTTCTAAACTTTTCTCACTGAATCATACTTCTTGAATAATATCTTCTAATCTTAACCTCTTCGATTACTTCTAATACCTTTACTACCTCTTCTACTATTGGATTTGAATTGACAATTATATCTCTGTGCTGATGTGGTATGGTGACATGAACTGATGTACTTACGTACGTACGAAGTTCTACGTTGCATCTGACTGACTGACTAACCTCCCGGGTTGTTAAGACCTTCCTTTTCAGGTTCCTCCCTTGCATTATTTATGCAACTAATATCAGTCACTGACAATAATAATAATAATATAAGAATATTTATCAAGTTTGAGACTTGAATTTATGCTTATCGGGTTAGGGTTTTCTCTTTTCTGTTTTCTCTTTTCTGTAGTCGTAATCAAGCATTAGAAGTTTGTTCAGAAATTATTGATTCCATCGGGAAAATTGGTGGACGGCCTAATTTAAATTTACAAAAATACAATGAACTATTATTGTTAGCCAAAAGAAAGTATCCTGATGTATCATTTACGGTAAGTGTTTATCACATGTCTAGTTTATTTTTAATACTTACTTATGCCTTATCATCACATTGAGTTGGCTCAATGGCTTTCTGCGCTTCGCTTCACTATTTCGTTTTCACCTTTCTCTTTATTGTCTGTCTGATTAGACAGAGAGAACTTCTTACGTAAGTACATCAGTTCAGGTTGCCATACCCCATCAGCACAGAGACGCAGCTGTCAGTTCAAATCCAATAGTGATAGCAATAATAGAACTATTAGCAGTAATGGAGAAGAATAGAGAGCGAAGATATGATTCGAAAAGTATAAGTCAGTGAGATAAATTTAGAAGGAGAAATACAGAGATGATGAATTTAGAAGGTTAGAATTAGAGAGAACACAAAGAGTGGATGCACCTGCACCATTGTAAACGATTCTCAGCCATATTATTCAAGGTCTCTAACCATCGGTGACTATCGTCTCGCGGACCCCAACCAGATAGCCTACATCTACCAATATGACTCAGTCTAGTTGTCAGTGACTTCATGGATTTGTGCCATGTTTTAGTTTGGCCGCCCATAGCTTTCTCCCAATCTACTCCTACACTGCAAAACATAGCTCGTCGAGGCAATTGGTGGTTAGGCATACATAACACATGTCCTAACCACCTCAGCTGATGAAGTTTCACTACTTCATCTATTGATTTGCCGTCCCTACCTGATTAAGTTAATGTATGAAACTGTATTGGGCTTTTTGGGTTAACTGTCATCGCTCAATCGAGGTTCGCTTAAGTATATAGGTAGGGATGGCAAATCAATAGATAAAGTATTGAAACTTCATTAGTTGATGTGGTTGAAACATGTGTTACGAATGCCCGACCACCGACTTCCACGACGAGCAATGTTTTGTAGTGTAGGAGTAGGTTGGAAGAAAGTTAGGGGCAGCCAGACCAAAACATGTCAGAAATCTATGAAGTCATCGACGAGTGGACTTAGCTATGTCGGTAGTTGTCGACTACCTGGTTGGGCTCCGCGAGACGAAAGTCGCCAATGGTTAGAGACCTTGAATGACATGGCTGACAGCTGTTAACAGTTTCGCCGGTACATTTATTCTTTGTGTTCTCTCAAATCCTAATCTTCTGGATTCTTCAACACTTCTAATTTTGTCTTTCTAAACTTATCTCACTGAATCATACTTCTTGAATAATATCTTCTAATCCTAACCTCTCCGATTACTTCTAATACCTTTACTACCTCTTCTACTATTGGATTTGAATTGACAATTATAGCTCTGTGTTCATGTGATATGGCAACATGTACTTACGTACGAAGTTCTACGTTACATCTGTCTGTCTGCCGCTTACAGGATTGTTAGACTCACTGTGTAGAAGTTTCTCACGGGATGGTCTCGACGATTTTTATTGTAATTCAAAAAATCTACACAATCTTATAAATGACAACTCATTGTTTCTGTATTATTTTTTCTTCTCCTTAACAATAGCATTATGCTTCACATATTTATGCTTTACATAAACGAAATTTCACTCTGGCTGAAAATGAATTACATGCTTATTTTGAAACATGTATGGGATCGGTACAAAATGCAGAATTATCATTATCATCATCATCATTGTTAACATCAATTTCATCTGGAGTTGGCACTACAACTACTACAACGATAACTACAACCACCGCGACAACCACAACAACAACTGCATCAAGTACATCGTCATTGTTAACTACACCTATGATGAATTCTAGTAATATTTGTGCTCATATGGCAGTGACTGGTGCTGGTATGCATTTAAATTTTGGTCATTGGTAAGGTTGTTTGTTTCTGTTGCTATTACTATTACTACTGCTATTACATAACTGTTTGTACATTTAATCTATGGTAATTATATTAGGACAACGTACGAATTCAATGAGTCAGTCAGTCAGTTGTTAATGGTTCTGAGGAGTCCCGACCGAAGCTGCTACCTTGACGTGTTAGTTAGTGGTCGGGCTTGTCTATCGTGATGACCTAACCGATCTATATTGGCTGCAACATATGTTCCTGAAGGTTCTACCATGCCAGGCAGGTCGATTGCAGAATGATGAGACTAAAAGCAGCTACTCAAGGTCTGAGAGCCAAGTCCTACTGCTGACTGTGATGGAGGGGTGTGACAGCAATAGTAAGGTGTTTCCCTCGGACAATCAGCATCTGCAGAGATGCTGCCTTCCCATGGGGAAGGAAGGATTAGAAAATGTCGACCCTAAAAATGTCACACCTCTCTCTACCTCACAGATTTCTGTCTCCGGCGTTAAGGGTGCCCAGCAAGGGCCTCTTAGAGCGGAGCTAATCCTCAAAAAACCTTTCATAAAAAGGCCGTTCGTGACCGGCCTCAAGCAGTTGTCTCTTGGGCTCTGCGGTCACGCACCCAGGTCTCTAAGACCAAAAATAATCTATCTTCCTTTTCAGGTTCCTCAAGAAACAACCTTCTACGGTGTGAGCAGCCGGAAAGTGACAACCGCCGTTATATCCGTAACAACACACGAGACCAAATTGGTCAAAATCAAATCCTTCCTGCACCCACACACACTTGTCTTTTCTCCACAGCGAACTCTACTCACAGTCCCTTTTCTCACTGCACCGCTAATGCAGACGAAGCGAGTTCACGAAACGTCATTCCTGGTCTCTTGAAACCTCGTTCTAGACTACGTGTTGGAGCATTTAATGTACGTACATTATGTCAAATGGGCAATAGGCTTCATTAGCTAGGACATTAGAATCTCGCTCAATTGATGTATGCTGCGTCTCGGAAACGCGCATACATAATCCTAGTAAAGTCATTAATCTGATTTCGCCTTGTCAAAACAAAGAAGCAGCCCAAAGTTCTGCGTTGTATCTGTCTGTCTGTCTGTCTATTGTACATTTTATCTATGGTAATTACATTAGGACAACTTACTAATACAATGAGTAGTCAGTCAGCTGTTACTGGTTCTGAGGCTGGATGTCACTTCTCAGCTGCCTACATTGTGAGGAATCTAAAGAAAGGAAATTAGATTAGTGTTGGTTTTAGCGACCCGCGAGCTTCTTGACCATATAGCCCAAGGGACAAATGCTTGAAGACTGGTCACGCACGACCTTTTTATGAGAAGCTCTTAAAGTGATAGCTCCGCTGTTTAAGTGGCCTTATCGTTGGAGAAGGAAATCCATGAGGTAAGGTTGTTATAATGCTGCTACGTACCTATTCAAATCTTACCGACGTCCGAATTCAAATATTCCAACACGATCCAAATACTATTCCCAAATCTCTTATATATCAGAAAGCAACACCGTTAGATGGAGTTGTTTATTGGGTCAAGTACAGAAGAGAGGTAGACAGGAAGGAACGGAATCGGAATCATGAAGTCTTACAGATAGTGCGTATTTATACATTTAGGTTGAATAGGAAAGAGCATCAAAGTTTGTGACATTGACAGTCCGGATGACCAATAAGAGACAACATTGAAGTATTTTTACTTTGACAGTTAAAACGACCATAATTTTGACCAACAGAAATCGACCAATAGGATGGATACTTCCAAAAATGGTAGTACTCTTAGGATATTTGCTGAATATCCTAACAAAGGTGAGATGTGAAATTTTTACGCTCAATCTTTTCTAACCCCTTCCTTTCGTTGTGAGAAGGTAACATTGCTGCTAATGCTGGTTGTCTTAAGGAAACGCTTTACTGCTGTCACACCCGTCAACTGTCAGCAGTACGGCTTCGTTGTCAGACCTTAAATTTCTGCTTCTAGTCTTAGTGTTGTTCTCCAATCGACCTGCCCGGCATGTTCGGAGCTAAAGGAACATGTGTAGCGACCTATATATTTTGGTTAGATCATCACGACAGGCAAGCCCGACCACCATCACGTCAAGGTGGCAAGTACCGTCAGGATTTACTGAAACCAATTATTTCAATTGTTATAATTAAGCACTTATCCAAGTCTGATGTTCATATATAATACTTCCTACATGTAATCCTCATCTTCTTCTAAAGTTGAGAACTGTTCATTAGTTTGCCCTAACTGAACACTTGTCCTGATTACCGTGATATATATCGATCAACATTTAAAAAAGAAGTCTACTTAGTGTATGCATGTACTTCATGTCAATTCATTACTAACTTGCATCTTGGATAAACAACAGTAAGGATTTTCCCCCCCAATAGTTTATACTATTCAATCATATTGTCTAAAATGAAACAATGAACACTCTGCGGAATCATTCAACTTAGTTAATAGATACAATAATTTTCATTAAAAACCTATATCTTTCTACATCTTCCTACATCATCTTTGAACTAGTGAATTGTGTTAAGATCAGTGAATTTTGTTGTGGCGGCTCCATCCTACTTTATGACTTTGAAACATGGCTAGTTAGAGTAGATGATATTCGTAGGTTAATGGTTTTCGATCGCACATGTCTCCGAAGCATTGCTCGTGTATCGTGGGACAATCGAGTAAGAAATACAGTCAGTCAGTCAGTTACAACGTAGAACTTCGTACGTACGTACGTACATCAGTTCATGTTGCCATACCACCGAATTAGCACAGGGACGCAATTGTCAATTCAAATCCCATAGTGGTAGAGATAATAGAAGAATTACTCTACCACTTATTCTTCTATAGTTAAGAAACAAGTGCTAGATAAGGATAGCAGATCAATAGGTGAAGTAGTGAAACTTTATCAGTTCAGGTGGTTGGGACATGTGTTGCATATATGCCTAACCTCCGAATGCCTTGTCTAGTTATACTTTGCGATGTCGGAATAGGTTAGAAGAAAGCTAGGGGCACAAATCCATGAAGTCATTGACAAGTGGACTGAGTCGTGTCGGTAGATGTAGGCTACCTGGTTAGGGTCTGCGAGATGATAGTAATCGATGGTTAGAGATGCTGAATGAAATTGCTCAAAATCGTTTGCAATGGCGCAGGTGTATTCATTCTTTGTGTTCTCGCAAATCGTAACCTGCTGAATTCCTCATCACTTTATCTTTATAAGTTGATTTCACTAGATTCTACTTCTTGAATAATAAGATTTTCGAATCCTAATCTCTCTGATTACTGCCAATACTTGTACTACCTCTACTACTGTGGTGCACGCTACTTGTAAGTAGTATATGACGCGAGTGTAAACGTAATGTCTGGCAGCAGAAGATGGAGGAAGATCAAGAAAGGAAGAGTGGGAACACAATGGAATTTGTATGAAACGCATGAATAGTGAAATGCCAGACAATGGATTGATGATGAATTGAAGATTTGCAAATTAACGATTTACGATATGGTTTTCCTATTTTACCAATTAGCTCTGTAATTTGAGATAAATACAATTCGGTTGCCCTCACCTGTGTTCTCCTTCACTACACTACCTCTACTACTATGAGATTTGAATCGTTACTGGCATCTGTCTATGCTAATTTGGTGGAATAGCAACTTGAAAAAAAAATATGTGTACATGTCCACAGTTCTACGTTGTCGCTGACTGACTGACTGATTGATTTAAACACTAACGATGAACTATTTGTGTTGTTCAAGTGTTCAATTTATATTGACTTTATTTCGATTTGTTTTCTAATAAATTTTTATTACCTTACTCAATTTTTTCATTGTTCATTAACAACTAGGTATAGAGGAAAATGTTTAATTAAAGAAGCACTTCAAAAGTCTTTAGAAAGTGAATCAAAAGATTCACTTGGTCATGTTAAAGTAAGTAAATTATTATTATTATTATTATTATTATTATTACTTTGAAATAATGAATGAAATCATTGTTAGACCACCATTAGAAACTCGGAAGCACTGATAGACAGCTGTTTCGTCCTGGTATGGAGATTCATCATCAGCAGTGCACATCCACGACTCCTACAACTCATAGGATTCGAACCCGGGGACCTTCGGTCTTGGGTGTGAACTCTTAACCTCTGAACGAGTGAGCCAGCCTGTATCCAACAGTGTTATAATGCCTAACTCTGATCCATCTAGGGATTTTTGCTCTACCTTACCCATTTGTCTTCAGTGAGTGATTACCTACACCTGACAAGGTTGAATTACACTGTTCACATCTATTCGCCCATTCCTCTTACAGGACTGTCAATTTCATTATTATCAGCAGTGGTGATATGCAACAATACAGCAGCGTCCCAATGACAGTGGCCCTCGGAAATGCTGCAAAATAACCAGCACTAATAATCAATGAAATCGGTCATCCTGCTAACAAAATTTGTATATAGACTGTTAGCAATACTTGTCCAAAGCAATGCCAAGCCATCCACAATGTTTATCACAACGAACCTGTGGTCTCTCAACGGAAACCCTCAGTTCTTTATATGAATATAGTGACTTACTACCATGTGATTAGTTAAAACATATAAAAGTAATACGTTAACATTAGATCCTAGTGTAATTCAGAATACACATTTTATCCTGTTAGGACTCTCGACCGAAGCTGCTACCTTGACGTGGTGGTCGGGCTTGCCTATCGTGATGACCCAACTGAGCTATACTGGCTGGAGACGAGAGCCACCAATGGTTAGAGACCTTGGACGATATGGCTCAAAATCGTTTGCAGAGGCGCAAGTGCATCCATTCGTTGTGCTCTCTCAAATCCTAATCTTCTGGATTCGTCAGCACCTTGTCTCACTGAATTATACCTTCGAATCCTAGTCTTCTTCATTACCATTAATACCTCTACTATCTTTATCACTATGGGATTTGATTTGGCAGTTGCGTCTCTGTGCTAATGTGGTACGGCAACATGAACTTATGTACATACGCACGAAGTTCTACGTTGCAACTGACTGACTGACTCACTGACCTGTTAGGACTTGTCAGCTGAATATATCTGCTTCCTAGAGTTGTCATTCACTGTGGTAAACATATCCCCCTACTAAGACACTATTCTATCCTCATTCAAAAGTCAATATCATTAAAACGGGATAATTCAAACTCTTTTAAAAAAAATCTTGAAAAATATACATGTTGCGTATTTTTTTCCTCCTCAAATTATTATTTATTTATGAATTTCTCATCATTTTTTTATCTACTTACTACTACTACTAATAATAATAATCAGTAGTAAATAATGTTTTTTAAAATTTTTTTCTTCTCGATCCTAGGTTACACATAATTTATTAAATGCCAATAATGATCCATTTCGTTATGATGATCAAGTACCAATGAAACAATCATTCAAATTAAATGTAAGTGGTTTATTCATATTTTTACTCTCTACAAAATTATTGTTACAAGGACTAATAATTACTTACACCTGTTACCCTCAAATGGAGCATAAGCCGCGCCCACCAGTTTTCTCCAACCAACTCTGTCTGTCCTGAGCTTTCCTTTCAAGTTCTGTCTAATTTTTGTTCATTCTTCTCATGTATGTCTGCATTTCTCGGTGTAATGTGTTCCTTGGCCTTCCTATTTTTCTTTTGCCTTGAGGGTTCCATTTGAGGGCTTGTCTTGTGACACAGTTTGGTGCCTTTAGTAGTGTGTGTCCTATCCACTAACTCCACCGCTTCTTCCTGATTTTGCACATCCAGTGGAATCTGGTTTGTTCTCTCCCACAGTACGTTGTTGCTGATGGTGTCTGGTTAACGAATACGAAGTATCTTGCGAAGACAACTGTTAATAAACACTTGTATCTTCTGGATGATGGCTTTGGTAGTTCTCCATGTTTCCGCTCCATACAGTAGAACTTTCTTGACATTTGTATTGAAAATCCTGATTTTGGTTTTGGTTGACAGTTGTTTGGAGTTCCAGATATTTTTCAACTGTAGAAATGCAGCCCTCGCTTTGCCAATCCGCGCCCTCACATCTGCGTCCGATCCACCTTTCTCGTCGATGATGCTGCCAAGATATGTGAAGGTGTTAACGTCCTCCATGGTATCTCCATGAAGCGTGATTTGGTTGGTGCATGTCGTGTTGCATCGGAGAATCTTACTTTTCCCTTTATGTATATTGAGACCTATTGCTGCAGAGGCTGCTGCTACACTGGTCGTCTTCTCTTACATTTGTTGTTGCGTGTGAGATAGAAGAGCCAGGTCATCTGCGAAGTCCAGATCGTCCAGCTGCGTCCTAACTGTCCAGTTGATACCGTGCTTCCCTCCAGATGTCGACGTCTTCATAATCCAGTTGATCACCAGGAGAAAGTCGAAGGGTGAGAGTAAGCAACCTTGCCTGACACCGGTCTTCACCTCAAAAGAGTCTGTCAGTTGTCCTTCGTGTACGATTTTGCAGTTGAATCCATCATAAGAATTCCGTATGATGTTAACTATTTTCTCAGGCACACCGTAGTGTCGAAGAAGCCTCCACAGTGTTATCCTATCCACGCTATCGAATGCTTTCTGGTAGTCGATGAAGTTGATGTAGAGTGGTGAGTTCCATTCAATTGATTGTTCCACAATGATCCGTAATGTTGCTTGTGATTTGGTCGGTACACGATCGATCCTTACGAAATCCAGCCTGTTGATCTTGAAGTTGGGTGTCTACAAAGTCCTTCATTCTGTTTTACAACACCCTGTTTTGAAGACTTTGCCTGGTATTGAGAGAAGAATGACAGACGAATAATGTCTTTTTAATAAATTTAAGAGCTTAATTTAAGGAAATTTTGGTCAGATTCTATTATTTTTAACCCATAGCACCACTACTACTATGGGGTATATAGTGAGTTTAATCAAAATTGGCCATTTGATAATCATGAGAAATGTCTGAAAGGATGAATACATATCATTAGTTAGGAAATGTGTTCATTTTCTAAGCGAGGATGGGATGTATACGTATATAAACGAGTATTTATGTAGATGATTGGGTAGCCTAATAGACTTTGTCTTCCACTCTTGACTTCTTACTCAAGTAGTAATTAGTTTAGGGTGTTAGATGCCGCACATCATAACATACTGTAGTGAATGAGAACACAGGTGGGGCAACCGAATTGTATTTAAGGCAAATTACAGAGTTAATCAGTAAAATTGGAAAACCATATCGTAAATCGTTAATTTGCAAAAGATCAGTTCATCCTATGGAACTGGACTGTTCCTGTTGCAAAACATCAATCCATTGTCACTCACTATTCATGCGTTTCATACAAATTCCATTGTTTTCTAACTCTTCCTTTCTTGATCTTCCCCCCATATTATGCTACCAGACTTTACGTTGACACTCACGTTATATACTACTTATAAGTAGTTCGCACCACAGCACCTCAATACTACCTGTTTAATTGTCGTGACCAGTGAAGTTCAAACCTGTTCGGATGTATACAAGGTATGAGGTTGCGCAACTCCGTGAATTTGATCAAGTTAGACATTAACACCGTTAGATACCGGCTCAGTGGTCTAACGGTTAGGGCGTTCGCGCACAATACCGAAGGCCCCGGGTTCGAACCCTGCGGGGTTCAGGAGTCGTGGATGCGCACTGCTGATAAGTCCCATACCAGGACGAAACGGCCATCCAGTGCTTCCAGGTTTCTATTGGTGGTCTAACATTGATCGATTCATGGTTACAAATAAATCTACCAAACAGTTCATGATGAAATATCCTTGCCAGAGTAATTATAATTTTCATCATATAGTTGTGAAGATTGTTGAGTTTTATTTAAATGAAGTAAGGTTGTGTAATACTGTGAATTAATCAAACTTAGACATTAATGCCAAACAGAAAGACAGACAGACAGATACAACACAGAACTTTGTACGCATGTAGTCTAGAACGGGGTTTCAGGAGACCAGAAGTGACGTTGCATGAACTCACATCGTTTGCATTAGCTGTGCAGTGTCATAAAGGAATGTGAGAAGACTTAGTCGTGGAGATAAGAGAGAGGTATTAAGGGGTGTAGGAAGGATTTGATTTTGACCAATTTTGTCTCATGTGCTGGTACGGGTATGAGGGCGGTTGTCACTTCCCGGCTGGAAGGGTGTTCCTTGAGGGACCTGAAAAGGAAGATAGATTAGTGTTGGTCTTAGAGACCTGAGAGCGTGACCGCAGAATCCAAGGGACAACTGCTTGAGGCCGGTTACTCACAGCCTTTTTATGAAAGGTTATTTGAGTGTTAGCTCCGCTCTTGAAAGCCCTTAGTGGGCACCCTTACTGACGGAGACAGAAATCTGTGAAGTGGGGTGAGGTGTGACATTTTTAGGGTCGACATTTTCTAACCCTTCCTTCCTTGTGAGAAGGCAGCATAGCTGCAGATAGATGCTGGTTGTCCGAGGGAAACACCTTACTGCTGTCACACCCCTCCATCATAGTCAGCAATACGACTTCGCCCTCAGACCTTGAGTAGTTGCTTTTAGTCTGATCGTTCTCCAATCGACCTGCCTGCCTTCAGGAACATATATTCCAGCCAAAATATCTGGGCTTGGTCATCACGATAGACAAGCTCGACCACCACTTCAATGTAGCAGCTACGGTCGGGAGACATTAATGCCACTGGATGTGGGCTTAGTGGTCTAGAGGTTTGGCGCGTTTAGCACGCGAAACCTAATGTCCTGGGTTCGATTTCCGCTTGTCAGGTCATGGTCATATTTAGGTTCTCGTTCGTACCAATCACTATGTGTTCAAATAAATCAATACGAAAGTTTTAAATATTCATCAATTATACTATAAGTTTTATTGTTATCAAAAAAAGTACTCGTTTCTCAGTGAACCATGCTATGTTGTTTTCGTTTTAAACCGTACATTTGATTTCTTCAATAATCTGTTTACTTAAATAATAAGCAAGGTTTTGGTTGAGATCATGAAGTGTTAGGAATGAGAGAACTTTTTAAAAACTAGACAACAGTAGATAATTGTTTCATCATTAAGTGAGTCAACACACTGTTGACAACTTGAAACTAAACGTTCGTTCTCTAGACAAATGTTTTGCGTTGGATTCCTGATGACTGTGTCTTAGATGTGTGAAATTATATATAGTCTCTTGTATTTAATCGCCTATTTGTGTGCACCTATAATTCCGTATAAGTTAGTTGCTACGTAGAACTTCGTACGTACGTACATAAGTTCATGTTGCCATACCACCAAATTAGCACAAAGACGCAAATGTCAAATCAAATCCCATAGTGATAAAGATAGTAGAGGTATTAATGATAATGAAGGAGACTAAGGTTTAAAGATATTAATTATTCAAGAAGTATAATTTAGTGAGATAAAATTAGGAAGACAAAGGTAGAGGTATTGATGAATCCATAAGATTAGGATTTGAGAGAGCACAACGAATGGATGCACTTGTGCCGTTGCAAATGATTTTGAGCCATTTCGTTCAAGGTCTCTAACCATTGGTGACTTAGGTTTCGCAGACCCCAACTAGGTAGTCTACATCTACCAACATGACTCATTCCACTTGTCAGTGATTTCATGGATTTCTGCCATGTTTGGGTTTGGCCGCCCCTAACTTTCTTCCAACCTACTCCTACACCACAAAACATAGCTCGTCGAGGCAGTCGGTGGTTAGGCATTCGTAACACATGTCCCAACCACCACAACTGATGAAGTTTCACTACTTCATCTATTGATCTGCCATGCTTACCTAGCACCCGTTTCCTAATAACAGCATTGCTTACTTGGTTGTCCAACGGTATACGAGCAATGCTTCTTAAACATCTATGATCGAATACTAGTAACCTACGAACATTTGCTACTCTTAACGGCCATGTCACACGCTTATCTCTATTGTATGCTATTTGTAACGTGGCTTATAAGTAGTGTACATTTGAGTATCACTCTGAAGTTACTGCTGAAGCGCAGTATATCGGGTCCAAGTGTATGGTGTGATTAGAATGGTTTAATCACTACAAAACAACCAATACTGAGCTTGTTTTGTTCAAAGATTTTGTGTCTGGTAAACTGTACCTACCCTCTTCAAACAAAATCTAGTTTTATTAATGCTAATCAAATGTCATCATTCATGTTGCATTGTCAGTCATTCAGTGAGCTACAATTTAGAACTTCGTACGTACGCACATCAGTTCAGGTTGCCATATCACATTAGCATCACAAAACATAGCTCGGTAAGGCAGTCGGTGGTTAAGCATACGCAGAACATGTCCCCACCACCTCAACTGACGAAGTTTCACTACTTTATCTATTGATTTGCCATCCCTACCGAGAACTCGTTTCCTAACGACAGCATTGCTTACTCGGTTGTCCCGTGATACACGAGCAATGCTTCGAAGATATCTATAGTCGAATACTAATACGCTGCGAATATCTTATACTCTTACTTGTCATGTTTCGCATCCATACAGTAGGACGGAGCGAACTGCTGCGCAGTACACTCTCCCTTTATTAGCAAACGGATATCCGAAGGTTGACAAAAGTCATTGTGCTCAAAGCATTGTTGGTCATCTGACTATATTTTCAATAACTTCGTCTTCAGGCTCTACATCATATTAAAATAGATGAAATATTCTCTGTTTTTGTGTTAAGTTCCAAAAATTTTACCTAAAACGGCTAGCTAGGTTCACAACTCCCCTACATATAGCTTAAATCACCCAAATCAACTCTAGGAAATCTAATCTAAGAATCCAAAAACAGGCACATATGTAAGCCACGATAGGATAACTAGAAATGTAAGCTGGATATAGATAATCCCTACGTACTATTCATCTTTCTTAATTTACATGAATTCCTCTTAAAATTGTAATCACCTTGACCTCATTGCTAGTTTAGTACGTATTATATTTACAAAACGTTATCGCTATTAGAGATTTTATTCACACGACTTACTTTATCATTATTAATGTATTGATTAAAACTTCGCATCATACTGTGTTGTATCATTGTGACATTGCTAATTTACAAATGAGACACAATCTTGAATTATTCACACGGTAATCATTTCAATAAATATTTCATTATTAATATTTAGCGTTGTGAAGATGGTTGAATTTGATTGAAATCTATCATCGATCAATGTTTCTTCAAGATTGGGTTTCATGGGCACCTGAACTAGTGATAGAGGGAGTGAAGTAGTCGACCATGTAGACGGCTTCACTTATCTAGGGAGTCTCATCAGTGCCGATGGCCTGGTGACTGACGAAATCTCAGGACGGATACAGAATGCTCGATTGGTTTTTGCCAACTTGCGTCACTTATGACGTAGGCAAGATATCCGTTTGCTGACTAAAGGACGGGTGTACTGTGCAGTAGTTCGTTCCGGCCTACTTTATGGTTGTGAAACATGGTCAGTGAGAGTAGAAGATATTCGTAGGTTACTGGTTTACGATCGTAGGTGTCTTCGAAACATTGCTCGTATATGGTGGGACAGCCGAGTGAGCAACGCTGTTTTTAGGAAACGGGTGGAAGAAAGTTAGGGGCGGCCAGACCAAAACATGGCACAAATCCATGAAGTCATTGACAAGTGCACTGAGTCATGTCGGTAGTTGTCGACTACCTGGTTGGGATCCGCGAGATGATAATAATCGATGGTTAGAGACCTTGAATGATATGGCTCAAAACCGTTCGCAATGGCGCCGGTACATTTATTCTTTGTGTTCTCTCAAATCCTAATCTTCTGGATTCTTCAACCCCTCTAGTTTTGACTTGCTAAACTTATCTCACAGAATCATACTTCTTAAATAATATCTTCTAATCCTAATCTCTTCGATTACTCCTAATACCTTTACTACCTCTTCTACTATTGGATTTGTATCGAAAATTATATCTCTGTGCTAATGTGGTATGGCGACATGAACTGATGTACTTACGTACGAGGTTCTACGTTGCATCTGACTGACTGACTGAATGTTAGAACACCATGTTTGAGACTGTTACTCATCGAAAACAATAGATGCGGTTACGTAATCCCGTGAATTGATTTAATTTAGACATAAACATCATTGAATGCCGGCTCAGTGGTTTGTGTGGTTTGTGCATGAGATGAAAGGTCCTGTGTGTTTGATTACCGCCTATGGGGGTCGTGGATTCGCAGTGCTGATGAATCCCATACTAGGTCATCCAGTGCTTCTGTTGGAGACGTTAGACCCTCAGAACTCACTTGAAAAAGCTGTTAATTTTGTAATTTGTTTCCGAAATTTTGAATTTCCATGTTTTCGCGCTGGAGACGCTTAGTTGACTTTCAGCTTACATATCCCACTAGGAAAATCCTTCACTGTCATTGGTTGATTTATTATTTTGTGGCTCTCGTCATGACGTTTCTACGATGTATAAATAAGCTTGAGTTGAGTGCTTAGCAACCTCATATTTTCTGGGTGCCTGTGAAACACATTCTCTCTGTCTTATCCAAACTTCTTCCTCCAGTTAGCAGGGCCTGGGACAGTTGGATTAGAATAGAATAGCCTATCATGTTACTGCATCGTTGATCTCCCATTCCGTTTACCGAGTAAGGTGAACTCGTATTGGTTTCAAGCAAATCAGCTTCTAGGTTTCTAATGATGATGAACTAACTAACATTGATCACTGCATGATTTCAGTGTAAAATAAATGTATTTTTAAAAATTTTCTTATTTTAACCTTTTTTCTAAAGGATGTTACATTAACTGAATTTCGTACAACATTTTGGAGTGAATTAGATAAAGGATCAGAACCGCATAAGTAAGTTTTGATCATTTGAACTGTCTATTGAAGTAGTTTCATTGTACTCTCCTAGTCAGCGGCCTATGTTCCATGAGGTGGGCGGGGGCGTGTTGTTAACATGTCATTGAATTTGTCATAAGGGTTTTTTAATGAGCCATAGAAATTCATGTGTGTTTTTTTTTTACCTCTAGTTGAACCCGGTATTTGTATGCATCATTTAAACACGTAAAGGAGTACCTAAACATTTGTGAACCTACTAAATTTACGAATGAACTGCGAGAATGACCGACTTCCTAAACCAAAGCAGGTAATTTTCATAGGAGACTACTCACTGAGCCTTTGACCTTCGGGTGTAATACACAAAGCAGTGGAGTAATGTTAGGAAATGCAGTCCCATGGTAGCAGCCGGTCACCAGCAGTAGGTTCATGCATTGATTCGGAATCAGAGTTTTCCAACTCCCTTAAGTGGATAGATCTTCTGTACTCTCCAATGTGGTTTAAACCCCAACTGAATATTCATTTTTCGTCAGTATACTCCCTAGTGACGACTAGCTTCGTGAGAAAATTCTTGGAGTTCTAGTGAGAAGGCGTGGCCAGTGGAGTTCAAGCGTGTCGGCAATAACAACCGAAGACAAATGAATGAGGTCGCGCAAAATCCCTAGATTGATCAGATTTAGACATTAACACCATAGGATGCCGGAAGGCTCAGTGGTCTGCAAGACTGAAGGTTTTAGGTTGGAATCCTGCGAGTAACGTGAGTCTTGAATGCGCAGTGCTGATGAGTCTTATACCCGAAAGTAACGGTCGTCTTTCAGTGCTTCCAGTTTTCTAATGGTGGTCTAACAATGATTCATTTGTGATTTCAGTAATGTAACAACATCTTCACGAGAAAGCAGTGAAAGTAGTCCTTCCTCTGGTTAGTGGTCACTCAGTCCCGCGTATATGTATATATCTTGCTGCCATTTCATATGTTTTAAATCAATCAGTCAATGAATAGCAACGTAAAACTACGTACGGACGTACGTATCCGTTCAAGTTGTCATACCACATTAGCACAATGTCACAATTGTCAATTCAAATCAAATAGTAGAAGAGGTAGTAGCAGTATTAGAAGTAATCGGAGAGATTAGAGTTCAAACATATCATTCAAGAAGTAGAATCTAGTGAAACAAACTTTAAAAGAGAAAGATAAAGGTGATGAGGAACTCTGAAGATTAGGATATGAGAGAAGACAAAGAGTGGATGCACCTGATTACTATCATCTCACGGACCCCAACCAGCTAGTCGACATCTACCAACATCACTCGGTCCACTTGTCAGTGACTTCATGGATTTGTGCCATGTTTTAGTTTGGCCACCCCTAACTTTCTTCCAACCTACTACTCCTACACCACAAAACATAGCTCGTCGAGGCCATACGCAACACATGTCCCAACCACTTCAACTGATAAAGTTTCACTACTTCATCTATTGAGCTGCCACCCTTTACCTAGCACTCGTTCACCTAATAATAGCATTGCTTACTCGGTTGTCCCCATGATACACGAGCGATGCGCTTTGCAGACACATCTGTGATCGAATATAAGCAATCTACATCTTTTTTAAATCAATTTTGATTTTGACCAATTTGGTCTCGCGTGCTGTTACGGGTATGAGGGCGGTTGTCACTTATCGGCTGCCCACACTCTGGAAGGTTGTTTCTTTAGGGACCTGAAAAGGGAATATAGATTAGTGTTGGTCTTGGAGACCTGGGTGCGTGACCGCAGAGCCCAGGGGACAACCGCACGGTCTTTTTGTGAAGCGTTTTTTGAGTATTGGCTCCGCTCTTGAAAGCCCTTAGTAGTCTGCCCCTACAGCCGGAGACGGAAATCCGTGAGGTGTGACATTTTTAGGGTCGACCTTTTCTAACCCTTCCTTCCATTGTGATGAGGTAGCATCGCTGCAGATACTGGTTGTCCGAGGGAATTACGTTACTACTGCTGTCACACCCCTCTGCAGTCAGTCAGCAGTACGAATTCGCCCTCAGACCTTGAGTATCTGCTTTTAGTCTCGTCGTCGTTCTCCAATCGACCTGCCTGACATCATTGTAGAACCTTCAAGAACATACATTCCAGCCAATATACCTGGGTTGGGTCACGACGATAGGCAAGCTCGACCACTAACTAACACGTCAAGGTAGCAGCTTCGGTCGGGTAGACACACCTAAGATCGAGAATCAGTAACCTACATATATTTTAAATCAATAAATATCATTCGATTATTGTAATAATTCAATATAATTTTTTTTTCGCAAATATATTTTTCGTTCAAATAGATTACTAACTATGTATTTCAATTCAGCGAATACAATATGTCAAGCGTATTTTACTATATGCCAGTTGGATTTAGCTACAATGTGGCAATTTTATGGTTATCCGTAAGTACTGAATGACATTTTATATGCGCGTGTGTGTGTTCGTTTGTTTCTCAATTAAGCTTTGATTTCATGCATATATGTATACATTGTGGTTTTTATTGTTAGGATGTAGTATATTAAATTTAATATCTGAATTTTTCAGAGGTTGATCTTCTACCAGGATAATCGCTTACTGATCTAGAATATGCCGATAACATAGTTCTATTCGGTGAAGACGCTGACAAAATGCAAAGTCTTCTGACTGGGTTGCATCGGCACTTGAACTACTGATAAGGAGTGAAGTAGTCGAGCGTGTTGATCACTTCACTTATCTAGGGAGTCTCATCAGCGCTGATAGCCTGGTGACTGACGAAATCTCAGCTCGGATACAGAAAGCTCGATTGGCCTTTACCGACCTGCATCACCTATGACGTAGACGAGAGATCCGTTTGCTGACTAAAGGACGGGTGTACTGTGCAGTAGTTCGCTCTGTCCTACTGTACGGATGCGAGACATGGCCGTTAAGAGTAGAGGACATTCGTAGGTTACTGTTTTTCGATCATACGTGTCTCTGAAGCATTGCTTGTGTATCGTGGAACAACCGAGTAAGCGATGCTATCGTTAGGAAGCGGGTGCTAGGTAAGGATGTCAGATCAATAGATGAAGTAGTGAAACTCCATCAGTTGAGGTGGTTGGGACATGTGTTGCGTATGCCTAACCACCGACTGCCTCGTCGAGCTATGTTTTGTGGTGTAGGTGTAGATTGGAAGGAAGCTAGGGGCGGCCTGAACCAAAACATGGCAGAAATCCATGAAGACACTGACAAGTGGACTGAGTCATGTTGGTAGATATAGACTACCTGGTTGGGATCCGAGAGACGAAAGTCACCAATAGTTAGAGACCTTGAATTACATGGCTCAAAATCGTTTACAATGGCGCAATTGTATCCATTCGTTGTGCTCTCTCAAATCCTAATCTTCTGGATTCGTCAGCACCTCTACCTTTGTCTTTCTAATCTTATTTCACTGAATTATACTTCTTGAATAATATTTTCAAACTCTAGTCTTATTCATTACCAATAATACCTCTACTATCTCTATGACTATGGGATTTAATTTGACATTTGCGTCTGTGTGCTAATGTGGTGGTATGGCATCATTAACTTATGTACATACGTACGAAGTTCTACGTTGCAACTGACTGACTGACAATATCCGAAGAGAATTATTTTTATAAGTGAATCTAATTCGATTGGTCAATTCCTATTGATCGTCGCAACTGTCAATATCACATACTTCGAATGTTGTTTCGTATCCGACCTCGCTGTATAAATACGCATTATCTGTAGCGTTTTATGACCTGGACCGGGATCCGCATCCCTAGTCCAGGATCCTTCTCTTCTTGACTCGGACGTCATACTTTCTGGATGACTTGTAGAATACAGGTTCTAATTCATATCAAGTCTCCTTCTTCTTTCACTCAATCGGAGGGGCGTAGGGACAATCGGATTAGAGTAGCCTGTCCTGTCGCCGGATCCTAGCTGTCGTTTTCTGACTACGGTAAACTTGTAATAGTTCAAGCATATCAAATGACGTGTTTATTTTCAATCGTAACACTAATTTACTTACTTACTTCTTTTACCCCTAATGGAGCGCAGGTCGCCTATAAGTGAATTATTTGTATCTGGTTAGCGTATTTCTTTTGTTAAGGGGTTGGATTTCTACGGGATAGGGTCGCTAACCTCTAATGACCAACGCTCCGGGCTTGGGACCGACAATAAACCGTGGAAGGGTCTCTGGGAGGAGTTATAAATTAACTGTAGAAATGTGTTACTTTTCTGTTCTTTAATGAATAAGTTGTTTTGAGTTATTTTCTTTATTTGTGACACTGTTATGTTTGCCACCAGCTGATATGCTTGAAAACTATTACGAATGTTCACCTTAGTTGGTAAACGAGAGCTAAGACAAATGATCCAGTGAGTGTGCCAACCTCCACAAACGGTATCAAAAAGTCTTAACAAGACGTATTCTACAAGCAAACAGAAAATATGCCGTTTTGTACGGAATAGGCAAAAGGATAAGAGTAATAAAACTTTGTAGACAATGCCTATTTATACAGTTTGTTTGACGTTGAATACCAGCCAATAGGAAAAGAACATTTAAAAAGCGTATGAACTTGATAGTTTAGGATGACCATCAATATTAACCAATAGGAATCGACCAATAAAATTAGACTTACAAAATAATTTCTTTAGGATATTTTGATGAAAATTCCGACAAACACAGCGGAACAGTAAAAAGTCTATATATTTTGCTACCGAATCATGTATACAAAAACTTGTCCATGTCTAAAAACATATATGTATTCCACTTCCTTAGAAAAGGAAGCCATTTTTCCCAACCAATAATATGTATTCGTCCTTTACACAACATTTCCTGATGGTCATCAATTACACTTCATACATTTGAGCACTTCTGATTATTTGATTATATCAACTGCTTTGTACGGTTATTTATATGGCTGGCCAGTGAGAATTGTTAACTTTTGTAGCTATTACATCATGGACTGATTTTAATTAAACAATCATTAGATGGCTATTTCGTTCAAATAAAGGACTCTTCCACTCTACCAATTCATAACTAGGGGCGGCCAGACCAAAACATGGCACAAATACATGAATTCACCGAGAACAACTGGACTAAGTCATGTTAGTAGATGTAGACTACGAGGTTGCGGTCTGCGAGATGATAGTAACTGATGGTTAAAGACTGTTAGGGATGTTAGATCCCCAGAACTCGCTTGATCAATGCCTTTTCTTGGATTTCACGTTTGTGAGCATGAGCTGATCAGTTGACTTTGAGATTTCATTTCCCACCAAGGAAATCCATGGCTGTGATTGGCTGCTGTGTATTTTAGTGTGCTATTTTTGTGACTGTCCCAAGGACCTTTCTATGATGTATAAATAAACGAGAGTTGTGTGCTTGATTGCATTGTGCTTGCTGAGTGTTTGTAGAATATACTTTCTACGCTTATCAAGACTTCTGTTTTGCAGTTTGGGATTCAAGGTAGCCTACCTGGACGCTGGTTCATTGTCTCGTTCGCGTTTATCGACTAAGGTGAACTCGTAATAGCTTCAAGCGTACCTAGTGAAGAACATAACAAAGACCTTGAACGACATGGCTCAAAATCGTTTGCAGTGGTGCAGATGCATCCACTATTTGTGTTCTATGAAATTCTAATCTTCTGAATTCGTCATCAACTCCACCTTTCTCTGTCTAAACTTATCTCACTGAATTATGCTTCTCGAATCATATCTTCAGACCCTAATATTCTCCATTGCCGTTAATACTCCTACTATTTCTACTACCATGTGATTTGAATTGACAATTGCGTCTGTGTGCTAATGTGGTATGGCAACATGAACTTACGTACATGCGTACGAAGTTCTACGTTGTAACTGACTGACTGACTGACTGACCAATTCATAACCACACGAAGGTCGGTAATGTACGCTTAAACATTCAGGCGATTAAGTTGATGTTCATTACATTTCTAAGTTTAATGAATTCACAATATTACGCAACTATCATCGAATATTTATGGAAATTAGGTAGAAATATGACTATTAATAGAATCAAGGACGCGCGTTTTGTCCTATTTCAGACTCGTTTTTAGTAGTGTGGTGCGCGCTTCTTATAAGTAGTATATGACGCGAGTAAAAAAACGTAATGTCTGGCAGCAGAAGATGGGGGAAGATCAAGAAAGGAAGAGTGGGAACACAATGGAATTCGTATGAAACGCATGAATAGTAGTGAAATATCAGACAATGGATTGATGATAGATTGAAGATTTGCAAATTAACTGTTTACGATATGGTTTTCCTATTTTACTGAGTAACTCTTTAATTTCCGTTAAATACAATTCGGTTGCCCTCACGTGTGTTCTCCTTCACTACAGTAAGATATACTTGTATTTCATAGTTGACGCTTATCCCGGGACTCGAACCCATCACCGTTTGTTTCAAACACTGTCACGTTATATACAAGACAAAACACACATCCCAAATTCCACTACCAACCATGTTTTATTCATTCTCTATAAACGTGTGTCAAAATGACTGTATTTAGGTTAGGCACAATACGTATAAGATACCCAGTTATATATCTCAACTAAGACTGTGTGAATTTCAGTCAGAACTATTGTAGTGAAGGAGAACACAGGTGGGGCACCCGGATTGTATTTAACGAAAATTACAGAGTTACTCAGTAAAATCGGAAAACCATATCGTAAACCGTTGTTTATTTGCAAATCTTCAATCCATCATCAATCCATTGTCTGACATTTCATTCACTATTCATGCGTTTCATACACAAATTCCATTGTGTTCCCACTCTTCTTCCTTTCTTGATCTTCCCCCATCTTCTGCTGCCAGACATTACGTTTTTTACTCACGTCATATACTACTTACAAGTAGCTCGTACCACACTATCACCAACCCTTTCATATGTTTTGTTAAATGAATATCGTGTTATTTGTCCTGTAAAAAAAAAGAAATCTCTTGATAAAATGTAATATGTTGTGTGTGTTTTTTTTGCTGTCCTCTCATTTTTTTCTAACACAGAAATTTAGCTACTGTCCTCATGCAATGTATCATTAGCGCGGATTGTTTAAAACCATGTTGTCAATCGGATAGTGTATTGGCTAATGCTTTTGCAAATATTATTAAAGAATTTAATTCGATGGTAAGTAAGTCAGTCAGTTGTGTTCTCTTCAACTTTTGTTTATTTTAGTGTTCGCTAGTTGGAATTGTTTTTTTCATGAGGCTAACGCTGTGGCCAACTCCGTCTCTTGTTCTTTATCCGTGATTAGAACTAGCTATAATCCGAGATGGGTTCTAGGTCATCTAAGTCATTGTCCAACGGTAGTCTACACTATTCCATAGGTGGTACCTGGAACAGTAATAGTTTTTTATGTGTGCACGTAAACACGTTAACTTGATATGCTTGAACTAATACGAGTTTAACTTAGTTGGTAAACGAGAGAGAGGATCAAGGATCGGGCGACACGACAGGTAACTAGTCTAGTCTGATTGTCCCAACCACTTATTGAGTAAACGAAAAAGACTTGATATGAAGTAGAACATGTATTGTACAAGGATCCAGAAAGTACGAGGTCCGAGTCCAGAAGAGGATGAAGATCCGGGTCCGGGTCCCAAAACGTTACAGATAATGCATATTTATGCACTTATGTTGAATAGGAAACAACATTGAAGTATATGAGATTGACAGTTAACTAACTTTAATGTGTGTACGTACACCTTATCTGCAGAGATTTTCATTTACAAATCAGGCAGATTATCGTCTGTTGTCTGACCTTTAAAACGTTTTGATCGTACTATATATTCGGATAAAAAAACTCTTGTTTTTCATTAGAAACTTCTGAGAGCCATTTCGCTGTATACTGTGCTACTAGTACTACTCATAAGGCACGTTGTGAGTAGTATTCACAACACTTGATCTTTATTATCGTGTTAAACAAAATACACGAATTAAGTCCCTAGTACATACCTTGTTGATTTAAAAGACAGTTTTGCAAGGAAGATTGATTGATTTAAGCTGACTGCATATGTTGAATAAGTATATCTACGAAGAAATACTGCTAAAACTACGTTACGTAGTTATAGTACCGAAGTAGCCTTTGATAAATACAGAAATAACTTGTCAGTTAGTGATAAAACTAGACTATAGCTTTAATAATGATGTGGCAGTTGGTAGGTTGGATGTGAAACACACGAAAATAAGCAAAAATTTAAAGTCAGGTGATGGCCAAATAGTTTTCTAAAGATTTCATTACAGGGGTTGTGAAGATTGTTAAGTTACACATTTGAAACCATGAATCGATCGATGTTAGACCACCGTTATAAACCTGGAAGCACTGAAAGACGGCCATTTCGTCCTGGTATGGGACTACTCATCAGTGGCAGTGCGCACCCAAGACTCCTGCACCTCGCAGGATTCGAACCCAGGACCTTAAGTCTTGCGCGTGAATGCTTAACCTCTGGACCACTGAGCCGGTATTTAAAGGTGTTAATGTCTAACTTCGATCAATTCACTGAGTTGCGCAACTTCATACACTGTTATCGGTGGTTACTGTCTACATCCGAACAGGATTGAACTTCACTAGTCACGACTTCCCACTAGAACTCGGAGAAGATTCCTCACGAAGCTAGTCACTAGTGAGCACAGGTAATTTGTATTACGGGGTTGTCAAGATTGTTGTTAAGTTACACATTTCAAACAAAGATTTAGCATCGTTATTAGTTTGTCTATTTTGTTTTGAAAAAAATTTCACCTTTCTCTCTCTCTCTTTCAATTTTTATAAAGGGATTAATTGAGACAGCGCTGAAATTGTCTAAAATTTGTCGATCTACATTGTGCCGTTTTCCAAATCAATCAGTTCTATTACAAGCAAGTATGGAAATTGAACTGGAACAAAATTTACGATCTGGTCATGATTTAGGTCAATGTGATCGTTTAGTAAATTCATTACGACTATTTTGTCCATGGGAAGCTGCTTTAAGGTAAAAGTTTTAAAAAGTGTTCATTTTTATCACAATTATTTTAGAGTCGATTGTTAAAAGTAGGGTTAAAATAAAATACTGTGTAGGTGGTTGTCACGCCTGCACATAAACACGTCAACTTGATATACTTGAACTATTACGAGTTTACCTAGTCGGTAACGAGAGCGAGGATCCGGTGACACGACATGTTACTCAAATCCGATTATTACAACCCCCATATTTAGTTAAAATAAGAAGACATGGTGTGAAGTAGAACGTGTATTCTACGAGCATCCAGAAAGTACGAGGTCCGAGTCCAGAAGAGAATCATGATCCCGGACAAGGGATCCGGGACAGAGCCCTGGTCCTGGTTGTGGTCAGTAAACGTTACAGATAATGCGTATTTATACATTTTGGTCGAATAGGAAACAGCATCGAATTCTGTGGCATTGACAGTTAAGACGACCAATAAGAAGTAACATTTGAAGTGAAATTGATAGTCAGGACAACCAATAAGAAACAACATTGAAGTATTTGACTTTGACAGTTATAACGACCATAATTTTGACCAATAGAAATCGACCAATAGGATTTGACCAATAATTCTCTTAGGATATTTGCTGAATATCCTAACAGTGGTTGTTTCGTTTTGCTAAAAGGGTTCAATAATTCGATCGATTTTCAATGGTAGTTCTCTCCAGTTGGTCTTTGTTTGTGTTAGGATATTCATCCAATATCCTAAGAGAATTATTTTTGTAAGTCTAATTCTATTGGTCAATTCCTATTGCCCTAATTCTTATTGGTTGTCCTAACCGAACTATCAATGTCACATACTATAAATTTTGTTTCCTATTCGATCTAACTGTATAAATATGCATTATCTGTAACGTTTTGGGACCTGGATCCTTAGTCTGAGATCCTCATTCTCTTCTGGACTCGGATGGTGTACCTTCTGGGTGATTGTAGAATGCACGTTCTACTTCATATCAAGTCTTCTTCTTTGGGATGCTCGGATTAGAATAGCCTATCGTTTCGCCGGATCCTCGATCCTCGCTCTCGTTTACTAACTAAGGTGAACTTGTAATAATTCGAGCATATCAATTGATGTGTTTATGTGCGTGCGTAACAGTTTGTGAGCTAAAAAGATGAACTTCGACTACCTGGTTGGGGTCCGCGAGATGATAATAATCGATGGTTAGAGACCTTGAATGACATGGCTAGAAAACCGTTTGCAATGGCGCCGGTGCATTTGTGCTTTGTGTTCTCTCAAATCCTAATCTTCTGGATTCTTCAACACCTCTAGTTTTGATTTTTTAAACTTATCTCATTGAATCATACTTCTTGAATAATATCTTCTAATCCTAACCTCTCTGATTACTTTTTATACCTTTACTACCTCTACTGCTATTGGATTTGTATTGACAATTACATCTCTGTGCTGATGTGTGGTATGGCAACATGAACTGATGTACTTATGTACGAAGTTCTACGTTGCATCTGACTGACTGATCTAAAGACCATTCTCAAATAGGAATTGAACGCGCCTACAATAGATTCTATCTACTACTAGTCACATTCCAATATAACATATGAATTGAATAATTTTGTTATTGTCTAATGGTGGTCTAGCTTTAATCGATTCATGATTTCAAAAATGTGTAACTTTAACAACAATCTTCACAACCCCGTAATGAAAATTACCTGTGCTCACTCGTGACTAGCTCCTTGAGAAGTGGGAAGTCGTGACTAGTGAAGTTCAATCCTTTTCGGGTGTAGACAGTAACTACTATTGAAGACAGTGTATAAGGTTGCGCAACTCCGTGAATTGATTGAAGTTAGATATTAACACCGTTAAATACCAGCTCAGTGGTCCAGAGGTTAGGCATTCGCGCGCATGACTAAAGGTCGTGGGTTCCGGTCCTGCGAGGTGGGTGCGCATTGAGACTGATGAGTGCTAAACCAGGACGAAATAGCCGTCTTTCATTGCTTCTAGGTTTATAACGTTGGTCTAACTTTGCTCGATTCATGTGATTTCAAATATTGTCTAAAAATATCAACCTCTTTTTGTTTTATTTTTTTCTCTCTTACAGGCAAGCTGAAGTTGAATTGAAACGTGGCAATGTATCGTATAGTCATGATATATTACGTTATATTATTGATAATATCATTGTAAAACGTGATCATGACTATGGTTTATTGTTACAACATAATGGATCAATGAACACTACCACTACTACTACTACTACTACTACTAATCATCATCGTTCCAATGAATTATGCAATCAAACGCAACCATTTTCACATTTACTCTTACCAACATTTCCTGAACATAATCTACCTGTAGGTGGTATGTGTAAATTGGCGTTGATTGAATTACGTGCACATTTAGCTTTAGTAAGTTATGTGAATACAGTCTTTTTTTTGTTATCAATTACTTGATAAGGCTGTCGTTTATTAGTGAAAGAAACCTGGAAGTACTGGATGGGCCGTTTCATCTTGGTGAGGGACCTGAAAATGAAGATAGATTAGTGTTGGTCTTGGAGACCTGGGAGCGTGACCGCAGAGCCCAAGGGACAACTGCTTAAGGCCGGTCACGCACGGCCTTTTCATCAAGGGTTTTTTGAGTGTTAGCTCCGCTCTTGAAAGCCCTTAGTGGGCACCCTTACCACCGGAGACGGAAATCCGTGAGGTAGGGTGAGGTGTGACATTTTTAGGGTCGACCTTTTCTAACCCTTCCTTCCTTGTGAGAAGGCAGCATCGCGCTGCAGATGTTGGTTGTCCGAGGGAAACACCTTACTTCTGTCAGACCCCTCTATCACAGTCAGCAGTACGACTTCGCCCTCAGAACTTCGGTAGCTGCTTTTAGTCTGATCGTTCTCCAATCGACCTGCCTGGCATTGTAGAACTTTCCAGAACATGGGTTCCAGCCAATATAACTCGGTTGGGTCATCACGATAGGCAAGCCAGATCACCACGTCAAGGTAACAGATACGAACACTGACAAGTGAACTGAGTCATGTTGGTAGATGTAGGCTACCTGGTTGGTATCCGCGAGACGAAAGTCACCGATGGTTAGAGACCTTGAACGACATGGCTCAAAATTGTTTGCAATGGCGCAAGTGCACCCATTCGTTGTGCTCTCTCAAATCTCAATCATTAGTAAAGTAGCTCATTTGGTGGGATAGGGCGAGACGGTTGAGCGTATCGCTTTCTCTATAACATAGTATTCAACAAGTTGGAAGGAATTCAACTGTTATCGTCCTTAAACTTTTAAAGTTGCGAAAGTCGATATCTAAAATATTTTATACCATTCGGTTCCATTTCAGCCAGTCAGATGCAACGTAGAACTTCGTACATAAGTACATCAGTTCATGTCGCCATACCACATCAGCACAGAGATGTAATTGTCAATTCAAATCCAATAGCAGTAGTGGTAGTAAAGTCATTAGAAGTAATCGGAGAGGTTAGGATTAGAAGATATTATTCAAGAAGTATGATGCAGTGAGAAAAGTTTAGAAAGACAAAACTAGAGGTGTTGAAGAATCCAGAAGATTAGGATTTGAGAAAACACAAAGAATAAATGCACCGGCGCCATTGCGAACGATTTTGAACCATGTCATTCAAGGTCTCTAACCATCGATTATTATCATCTCGCGGACCCCAACCAGGTAGTCGACAATTACCGACATGGCTAAGTCCACTCGTCAATGACTTCATGGATTTCTGCCATGTTTTGGTTTAGCCGCCCCGAACTTTCTTCCAACCTACTACTACACTACAAAACAAAGCTCTTCGAGGCAGTCGGTGGTTCGGCATACGCAACACATGTCCCAACCACCTCAACTGATGAAGTTTCATTACTTCATCTATTGATCTGCCATTCTTACCTAGCACCCGTTTCCTAATAACAGCATTGTTCACTCGTGTGTCCCAGGATATACGAGCGCAATGCTTCGAAGATATATCTATGATCGAAAACCAATAACCTACGAATATCTTCTACTCTTACTGGCTTCAATTTGGTTCTACTGCCTTAACTGCTCTCATACATTTGTATTATCAAATATCAAGTTCCTCTCCATATATATATATATATATATATATATATATATATATATATATATATATATCATTATGAATAGTAAGTAGGATAGAGTATCATCAGCTCAAAAATTCAGAGTACACGAGTTATATGTGAGCTAGAAATTATTGTTGACTGTTTGTTTTGGTGAGTATTGATCTTATCATTACTGGCCAACATCATTGATCGACAAAGTGGTTCTGATACCAATGTGAAGACACTGCAACATTTCTACAATTGAAGAACATCTGAAATTTAAAACAAACGGTCTGTCAACCAACTGTAAAGTCAGAATTTTCAAACTTTACAAACTTTAAGACAGTTCTGTTGTATCCAGCAGGAAACTTGGAGAACCATGGAAGTCATCATCCATAAGATACAAGTATTTATAAACAATAAGGGCAAAGCGTTGAAGGTGGATAGGAAACACATTGTGGAAATCGCTCAACTACGTTACGAGGCACGCTCTAACTTGGAATCCTCAATGTCTAAGTAGGGATAAATAGACCAAAGAACACATTACGCTGATTGTCGGGAACAAACATGCAGAGAATGAACAGCAAGGCCCAAGACAGGGTAGTAGTTTAGAGAATGCTAGTCGACAACCTTATGTTCCACTTACTTACTTACGCCTGTCACCCCCAATGGAGCATAGGCCGCCCACCAGTTTTCTCCAACCAACTCTGTATCCTGGGCTTCCCTCTCCAATTCTGTCCAATGTTTGTTCATTCCTTTCATATCTTCCTCTATTTCTCGGCGTAATGTGTTCCTTGGCCTTCCTCTTTTCCTTTCACCTTGAGGGTTCCAAGTAAGGGCTTGTCTTGTGACGCAGTTCGATTCTTTTCGTAGTGTGTGTCCTATCCACTAACTCCAGTGCTTCTTCCTGATTTCCTCCTCTACTTGAATCTGGTTTGTTCTCTCCCACAGTACGTTGTTGCTGATGGTGTCTGGCCGACGAATCCGAAGTATTTATTTGCGTAGACAACTGTTAATAAACACTTGTATCTTCTGGATGATGCCTTTGGTAGTTCTCCAAGTTTCCGCTCCATACTGTACTTATGTTCCACTATGTGTTACTTAATATATAAAGTTAGACATTAACACCGTTGTGAATGCTGCCTCAGTGGTCTAGACGTAAAGCGTTCGCGCGCGAGACCTAATATTGTGGGTTCGATTCCCGTGAGTATGGGTCGTGGATGCACACTGCCACTAACGAATAATAGTCCCATACTGAGATTGTGGAGATTTTTAGCTCAGGTGGATGATTGTGGTGGTGGTGTTTCGTTCTCTGAGCTGAGTGTATTTTGGTTGTGGAGCTTTCATTGTTCTTCTTCTGAACAACATCATCATCAGCATAAACTTCAGATAGAAGAAGTGAAGCATTCGAATCTCTCCGCTTTTGACCTGTAGCTTGTTCTGTTAACCTTGATCTTGATTGGTTGCTGCTGTTGACTTTAAACTTGTCGCTGTTGTTTGCACCTTGGTTTTGACTGTATCGTCCCATCTGATCTGTTTCTTGATCCTATCTGTCACCTATGATTTTTCTGATTGGTTGATAAATTGGGTCAATGTCGATGTGTTGGTTGACTGCCATTTGACCTGAGTGCCAAGCTTCTAAAAATTCTCTAGTGTTCTTTGTCCTCCCCCTATCCAGTATTTCCACATTGTTCCAATCGAATGTATGTCCATAATTGTCGATGTGTATTGATATAAGCGAAGAATTGTCATGGCGTTTGATGTTCACGTAAACGAAGCTGAAGGGGGGACGTCCACTTTGTCCTATGTGTAGTGTTTTTCACAGTCTAAGCAGTTGTTTATTTTGCAGATGATATCTGGTGCTTATTCATTTGTTATTTTGTCCTTTTGGTCTACACATAGGATTGATTGAAGTGATTCTGTTGGTTTATTATGTGCCATACACCTATTCCAAATGGTTTCAGTAGTCGTCTTGTATACTCCGATATGTCTTTAATATGTATGGTAGGATGATTCGGTTATTGATTCCTGTACTTGTTTGATTTCGCTTCCGTTGATGATTTCGGTTGATGTTTTTTGATGAAGTTGCTTGGATAACCGTTCTTTTTTTGGAAGATAGTGTCACAAGGTGTGTGTTTTTCCGCATGTTTTTTTTAGTGCTTCTTCGTCGTTATGTGCTGCAATGTGTCCATCGCTCGCTTGAACAAAATTTGTATGCAGTCAGTCAGTCAGTCGCAACGTAGAACTTCGTACGTATGTACATAAGTTCAGGTTGCCATACCGCGCCAGCAGAGAGACGCAGATGTCAAATCAAATCCCATAATGATAAAGATAGTAAAGGTATTAATGGTAACAAAGAAGACTAGGATTCGCAGATATTATTCAAGAAGTATGATTCAGTGAGATAAGGTTACAAAGACAAAGGTAGAGGTGTTGACGAATCCAGAAGATTAGGATTTGAGAGAGCTCAGAGAATGGAAGCACTTGCGCCATTGCAAACGATTTTGAGCCATGTCGTTCAAGGTCTCTAACCATCGGTGACTTTCGTCTCGCGGACCCCAACCAGGTAGTCTACATCTACCAACATGACTCAGTTCACTTGTCACTGACTTCATGGATTTCTGCCATGTTTTAGTTTGGTCACTCCTAGCTTTCTTCCAACCTACTCCTACACCACAAAACAAAGCTCGTCGAGGCAGTCGGTGGTTTAGTGGCATTCATAGCACATGTTCCAACCACCTCAACTGATGAAGTTTCACTACTTCACCTACCTAGCACCCGTTTCCTAATAACAGCGTTGCTCACTCGATTGTCCCACAATATACGAGCAATAATGCTTCTTAAACATCTATGATCGAATACTAGTTAGTAACCTACAAATATCTTCTACTCTTAACAGCCATGTTTCACAGCCATATAGGAGAGAACAGAGCAAACTACTGCGCAGTACATCCGTCCTTTGGTTAGCGAACAGATATCACATGCCTACGCTATAAGTTTGTATGTATACAGTTGATTTATTATTATTCTCATTGTTATATTTTCTTTACTTAACAGATTGAATTATTGATCACATTGAAATTATATGTGTACGCTTTGAATGAAATCAATGTCACATTGAAATTATGTGAACAATATCGATTAAATTTAGGCATTGAAATGATTCAACTATTCCAATGTACTATTTATTTATCAATGAATAATCAAAAAAGGATCAATAATACTACTTATACTACTACTAATACTACTGATAACAGTCATCATCATCATCATGACCATCACTCACTAGCAGCCAATGGTGTTATTGTTGATTCAACAATCTGTAATGAATGGATCAATCAATTGAAACAAGCCCGACCCAGTGTGATTTATGCCATGAATACAAATCTTAGTGAAATATTACATCGTACTGATCAATTAACAAAATATCGTTGTCAAATATTTCATAGTCGTATACGTTTATTAATTCATGTGAATGAGAATAATAAGCCGTGTAAGTGATAGTGATAGATGGTGTTCAACTCGTTTGTTTGTTTTTCTAGTCAGTTATAATGATAAGTATTTGATTGTTATATACATTTTGTCGTAAGGAGCAGTCAGTCATTCAGTTACAACGTGGAACATTGTACCTGTGTACATCAGTTCAAGTTGCCATACTATCACATTAACACACAGACACAACTACCGGGGGCAAGAAGGATTTGATTTTGACCAATTTGGTCTCGTATGCTGTTACGAACATCACTGGTCGAATGAGAACTTATGGCGAACTGTCATCGGAATTCTTTACTTCAACTGGTGTCCGTCAGGGATGTCCACTCTCTCCATTCTTGTTTAATTTTATCATAGACATGCTCCTAGATATAACCTTATGCTCGTCTCAATTTTCAGGAGTAGACCTTCTACCAGGAAAATCGCTTACTGACCTAGAATATGCCGATTACATAGTTCTGTTCGGTGAAGACGCTGACAAAATGCAGAGTCTTCTGGCCACCCTAAGCAACAATGCAAGCATATTCGGGATGCGATTCTCACCCTCGAAATGCAAAATATTGCTTCAACATTGGGTTGCATCGGTACCTGAATTAGTGAAGTAGTCGAACGTGTAGACAGACCCCTTCACTTATCCTGGGAGTCTCATCCGTGCTGATGGCTTGTTGACTGATGAAATCTTAGCACGGATACAGAAGGCTCGATTAGCTTTTGCCAACGTGCGTTACTTATGGCGCAGGCGAGATATCCGAGTTTAATGCACGGCAGTTCGCTCCGTCGTACCATGTGGATTGGAAACATGGAAAGTAAGAGTAGAAGATATTTGTAGTTGACTAGTATTCGATTAAAGATGTCTTCGAAGTATTGCTCGTGTATCGTAGGACAACCGAGTAAGCAATGTTGTCGTTTGGGAAATGGGTACTGCATGAGGATGGAAGATCAATAAACGAAATATTGAGACTTCATCAGTTGAGGAGGTTGGCACAGGTGTTACGTATGCCTAACCACCGACTGCCCAAGGTCTCTATGTTTTAGGATATTCATCCAATATCCTAAGACAATTATTTGTAAGTCTAGTTGGATTGGTCAATTCCTATTGGTCGCCCTAACTGTCAATGTCACATACTGCAAATGTTGTTTCCTATTCGACGTAACTGTATAAATATGCATTATCTGTAACGTTTTATGGCCCGGATCCTTAACCCCATCTTGACTCGGACCTCTTACACTCTGGATGCTTATAGATTACACGTCCTATTTCATATCAAGTCTTCTTCTTCTTTTATTCAATGGGGGTTTAGGACGCACAGATTAGAGTAGCCTATCGTATCACACTAGATCATTGTCTCGCTCTTGTTTACTGATTAAGATGACCTCGTCATCATTCAATCATATCAAATGACGTGTTTACTCTCATGCATAACGCTATGATAGGAATACTACCCCCCTAACTCAGGTCTCATATAGTCGAAAAATGAAAATTTCTGAAATGCGAAAAAATCATTGCCCGACATGAGTGAGACAAAGGGGTAGTAGAAGTGTTTTGGCCTATTTGCATCAAGCTGGCCTGCCTCTTCTACTATCCTGCGCCATATATGTGTACACCATATGCTATACTGCTGTTATATAGAGCCGAAGGTCTCCTATGAGACTAGAGGTTCACTGTGAATATTGTGGATGGCTTGGATTTGCTTTGGTAAGCATTGTTAACAGTCCATATACAAAATTGATTAGCAGGGTGACCGATTTCATTGATTACTGGTGGTTGTTTTGTGACATTCCCGAGGGCCATTGTCATCGAGGTGCTGTATTACTGCATATCACCATTGCTAATAATAATGAGTTTGACAGTCATGTAAGTTGGATGGGTCGAAATGGCCTGTATCATGCGGTGCATGTTGATTGACACGATCATTGATCGGAAATACATATATATACCATTGTGTGTACATGAAACGGTGTGAATGTTCCACCAGGGCATCAGGTACCTGTTTGGTGGTTGCACCACAGGATTGAGCCGAACTATTGATGTAGTGTAATGGTAAAACGTGTCCAGTCTTTTTGGTTCTCCTGAAAACCACCAATGTAAAATTGCCCCCTTGACAATACAGGGTAAATTGTGAATAACGCTATGATAATCCGTCCAGGTTGACAATCCAATTTCCTTTATTCTCAGGTCCCTCCCTCCTCATTAAAGAAATCTTTTCCTCTCATGTAGGATGATAATACCTCAAGCCGTTGATCACCGATCACCATACATATATTATTATATTGCTCTTTAGTACCATTTAAATTAATTAATTAATTCATGTCATTTTTTTTAACATTGTCATTCTCTATCGCTTTATATTGTTCTTCTAATTTTTAATTTTTTTCTTAGTTATTCATATGCATATGACAGAATTATTAAAAGCACTCAATTATTATCGTCAATTAGATGATAGAAAACGTGTACTTGATGTCTTAGTATTAATGGTAAGTGTGTTTTCTGTAATTGTATTGCGCAGAGATCATTTTCATCATGAAAAGAAAAAATTCTTAATTTCTCATTGAATATGATTTACATTTGTTAAGTGCACATTTATGTGTACCTACCGAGTATGTACCGAGTTACACACTACTTTTGTATGAAATGAGTAGTAGGAAAACTATGCAGCGGCAGCTGCAGCTACTGAAATCATGAATCAGTTATTGTTAGACCATTAGTTATCTGGACGGCTGTTTCGTCCTGGTTTGGGACTCATCAGCATCCATGACTCCTGCTACTTACAGGATTCGAACCTAGGACCTTGGGTTTTAGCGCACGAACGCTTAACCTCTGCGCCGACATCTCACGATGTGAATGTCTAACTCTGATTAATCTACGGATTTTTGCGTGACCTTACACATTTTGTCTTCAGGAGTTACTGCCTACACTCGACAGGGTTGAACTCCACGAATCTAGTCACTAGTGAAGTATAATTTATATCTGTACTTTCATTTATTGAAACGTGAGTGCGTCAACCACCACTATGACAAAATATCGTTTATCATTCATTGTTTATTACAACTAAATCCCATCAATATTTTGCTGTCATGATTCCATACCGCCGAATTAGCACAGGGATGCAAATGTCAATTCAAATCCGATAGTAGTAGAGGTAGTAGAAGTATTAGAAGTAATCGGAGAGGTTAGGATTAGAAGATATTATTCAAGAAGTATAATTCAGTGAGATAAGTTTTGGAAAGAGAAAGATAGAGGTGTTGACCAATCCAGAAGATTAGGATTTGAGACAACTCAAAGAGTGGATGCATCTGCGCCATTGTAAACGATTTCGAGCAATATCATTCAAGGTCTCTAACCATTGGTGACTTTCGTCTCGTAGACTCCAAACAGGTGGCCTACATCTGCCAACATGACTCAGTCCACTTGTCAGTGACTCCATAGATTTGTGCCATGTTTTGGTTTGGCCGCTCCTAACTTCATTTCTATAATCTGTTAGTCGTGTTTATAAAGCAATCAATATTTGAAACTATTCAATCCTTAACTATACACAAAATGTTATTATTAGTAAACTTTTAATGACAAGTAAGGGGAAAATTTGTATTCAAGTATTTATGCACCTTACTTTATGGGAACTATTGATCTTTGACATAATGTCTAGACTTAATTAGTTGACAAGAAAGCCCATATATCAAAAAGGAGTGATTTGCTTAATACAATTGGGTTTGTTGAGTAGAAAGTTAGTGAGTTGTAGTTAATGTATGTGACCTTGTCGAGCTATGTTTTATGGTGTAGGAGTAGGTTAAAAGGAAGCTAGGTGCGGTCAAAGCAAAATATGGCACAAATCCATGAAGTCACTGACAAGTGGACTACTGAGTCATGTTGGTAGGTGTCGTCGACTACCTGGTTGGGGCCCGTGAGATGATAGTAATCGATGACATGGCTCAAAACCGTTTGCAATGGCGCAGGTGCATTCATTCTTTGTGTTCTCTCAAATTCTAATTGTCTGAATTTCTCATCACCTCTATCTTTTTCTGTTTATTAAGTTTATTTCACTGGATAATACTTCTTGAATAATATCTTCAAACCCTAATCTGTCCGATTACTGCTCATACTTCTACTACCAGCTCTACTACTATGGGATTTGAATTGACAATTATACCTCTGTGCTAATATGGTATGACAACGTTATAACTGACTGAATATATGTGACCTGTGAAAAATATTTATCGGTTTGAACTAGTACACATTATAGATTAGTACAGTGAGATCGATAGTGAATGAGTCAGTCAGTCAGTCAGATGC